TCCTGGCTTTTAACCCAGCTTTTAACTTAACTAAACCAACCCAAATTCACAAGCTGATATGATCAGCTTCACTGTTCTGCTTACTAATAATTTTTAGGTACTGACCAATTACAATCAAATTTGATGGAGGCTCAGCCAAATTATGTTTCTTTAAGATGCAAGAAAATGTGAAGCCAGGAAGCTGAAAAATAAAAAACTTGTGCCCACAGAAAGAAACAGATAGGAACAATTTAATATTTCCAAAGGCAAGTAAGAAATCCCTGTGTGAGGGAGCATCCAGTTGCAGCCCATCAGTATGAGAAAAGCTCAAATCAAAGCCAGTCCTGCCTTTTGCCTTGTCCAACATGTAGAGAACATGAGAGGAAGCAAACATCTTGAGGAGGAGCAATCCACAAAAGCCAGCAGAGCAGCTGTGATGTTTGCTGTATCTCAGTGATACAGGACACAAATCTGAAGTGGTTTCTCTGCAGCACCATTTATCTGGGACATTAATAGAATTATTCTAAGATGAAGGCAAGATCAGTAAATGATTCCTTATCATGAGTTTCCATCAGTTGGCCAAAGCTTCCGAGGTTAGTATAATGTCACCTATAAAAGCCATGTCTTCATATAAAGCTACATATCATAAAAAAGTCTTACAGCACTGCAACTGAAAAATAATTATTCATTTTCTGTGTATTTTGAAAGTAGTTTCTATACCTAAAATGAACTGGCTTGTTTAAAACACATTCATATCAATAGAAAGAGTAAACCTGATAAAAATCAGGTTTGCATCTTGCAAATGGATTGGCTCAGGTTCTGTGCAACAGATTTGTAGTTCAAGAAGTCAGTGACTCCTGAGTGAGGAACTACTTGTACTGTGAGTAGAATTTAACCCAACAGCAAATCTTAATGAAAGTATTTTTCTGTTTTTATAAAGGAAGCTAAAATCCTAGAAAAATGTAGATAATCAGGACTTAATAAAAAGCTCACCCCCAGGTCTCCCTTCAAACCTGTGCTGGGCAGGACTGCAAACCCAGTTTTGGGATTGGTGACTTCTCAGGGTGGGTCCACATCATGTCACCAGGCAGCCTCCTCACTACCTACCAGGCATCTTCTGAGCAAAAGAGTCACTTGAACTGAGCTGAGGTAAGAGACCACAATTCCTCTTTGCTCACAGCTGCTCACAGGTGTGCCAAAGGCCATCAGCCATTCCAGCTGCAGACTCACACCTCAGAACTGCTCACTCTGCTCTTCTGCCTTGTCCTTGGTTTCCATGAAGGATTTTCTGCCTTTAAAGCCTCGTGGCTCAATGCACTGGGCTTTGAAGTGATCTCTGGCTCTTACTTCAAATGCTGCTGCCACTGCTAGATCAAACACAGAGAAAGCACAGCGAAGTAATTTGTGTTACAGTCAAGTGAAAACATGAATTGCCACATCACGTTCTTGGTATGCACAGCATGGTTTGAAACCCAGATCAGATGGCACAAGATCACCCCATTCTAGGCCTGCATTTGCCTTCTGCAGCTTACAGCTGTGACTTTCACACAGCCTGGCAGTTTGCCTTGCCTCAGCTCCCTCTTAAATTAGGCAGACATATTCCAGTGATGGATGTCTGAAGGTCTCTCACAATCACATTGTGGTAAAAATAGATAAGGGAAAGAGAATTTCCTGTTCCAAGTAGAATTTACGTAAACCATTAATAATTCACTATTCAGTATTCACAAAAATTCTTTCAACTTAGAATGACCACTATTAAAAAATGTTGTAACTTCGTTACTGAGGACGCAGGAATGGAAAAAAAAACAAACCAAAAAAACCAACAGACATGCTTAAACTTGTTAAAACCTATTCATTTGGAAAGGTCAAACCATACTTCCTTTGGGTGTACAGGATGGAAAATGCTGCTGGCCATATTTTCCCAGTGGTATTCTTTTCTCTGGTAGTTCTGGTTCAATACCATACAAGGGAGAAGGACAGCAGGAGGCCAAGAATGTCACCAGTCCAGTGCTGTCAAGATGAGTTCCACTTCCCCAAACACAGTAAAGTGAAGGCTTGGCAGTTAGGAGAGTGAGAATTATTCCTTGAGCTTCTGTATTTCCAGTCCAAAATGGATCAAAATCTGGCCATGTAGGTCAGTCACTCACTGGGTTTCTGGTGGGGCTGTGTCACAGCCTAACCCCAGTAAGCAGCTAAACAGCGCCCAGCCACAGTTCTTTAAACACCAAGTATTTAATTTCTGCTAGGTCTTCTCTAGCTTTTGCCAAGATCGATATTTGTTATCTCAGACACGTTAGAACACAGCCTTCACGCAGCCACGTGTCACCTTAAACCTGAATGAAATCTTCAACAGTGTCTTACTACAGACATATGACAGGACTAGAGAACCAGCTGAAAGGACTAGAGAACTAGTTGAAAATTCTTAAATGGGCAAACTGATGTGTAAGTAAACCACCAGAAGCTTTTAAAAAAAGAAAATAGTTGCTATCCCACATGCACCTCACGCTAGACTCTAATTACAGAAACCCTTTTAAAGACAGGAAACACTTAAGAGTTTACATTCTCTGCAGGGCTCTGTGCCAGTGGGAAGGGAATTACAATCCAGAATAGTGTGATGAAAACCAGGTGGGCCTGAAAAGGTAGAATTTCTGTTCAAAATGCACATGCATTATCATCTGTGACTGGTTGACTCTATCCTCAAGTATGGACTACAAAAAATTAAAGGCACAAATTTCTGGTTATTTGTATCCAGAGTTCCAACAGCAGTTAGTCTCTGGAATATTACAGAACAGTAGTTTACACCACAAATACTTCCCAGGAAAAAAAAACTCCACACCACAAAAATCCCCTTACACATATAAGGTCAAACAAATGAGTCATTCAAGGAAAAGAAGCCAGACATTGCAATTGACCCCAGCTAAGCACATGAATCTAAAAAAAAGTCAGTGAGAAGGAGATCTTAAAGGAAATCCCAAAACAGCGACAAAAGAAATGCCAAATCAAGACATAGAAAAAAATTAAACTCTCCCATCACATTGTCAGGCAATAAATATATAATTAAAGCACACTGGTGTTTACAAAGACTGTGGCAAGGTCTTTTTTAGACATTAATTTTTCTTCCTAAGGTTTCCCTTTCACTGCTAAATAATTTCATTCAGAGGACAGTTTTCAAACATAGCTTTCACATCATAAATCTTTAAAAGCCTACAGTCAATCTATTATATTTACTTTCTCTTCTCTACACAAAAAAAAAAGGATTGACCTAAACATACCCTACAACACTATTTACACCTTAGTTGATTATTATATCTGATTTCTTTCTGAGCAACTAATGTAAAATTTCATTTGAATAGCTCTTCCTTAAAAATGTATTTCCTAAATATAAACAGAAAGAATTTTCCCACACAGGTGTGTATCCATATGCAACTTAGAAAGCCATGAAGGCAAGACATTCTTCTTTTCTATTCTTTTATCATACTAACACAAATCACAAACACCAAAAAAAAAAAAAAGTGACCTGAATTTAAGAGTAAATAGTTCATTCCTGTTTCAGAGGGGGAAAAAAAAGGTAGCTAAAACATAACTCGTTGAAATAGCAACAGTGTTGTTAAATCACGCTGCTGCGGTGGTAATGGTGGGCTGCTTTCTGAAATGCAACACTTAGACAACTGAATTGACCTGATGTTCCCTGACTTATTTTAGAAGACATTAACAGAGTGCTACATTTCTCTTTTAGAGTTTTGGTTGGTTTTGGTTCTGATAACAAAAAAATAAATGTATTTGTATCTAAAAAAGGGCAGCAGATACTAAAAGAAGGTGTATGCCTATAGGACAGAAGCAGGTTATTCCTTATTGCAAAGGAATAATATAAATAAATAAATAAATAAATAACATTTAATAATTTTCCCATTTTCTGAAAACTGAAGGGCATCCCAACTCAGCAGTGTTCCTACCCATTTGCTTTTGTCTCCTGTACATACAATATCATATAACTTCACTATGATCCATGCAATCATTTTATTTTACACATCTGTAGCAGGATGCTCTGTCTGGGATGCAGTCAAGACTTGAGCAATGCAAATTTTTCAAAGCCATCACTGGGAACTGAGAGGAGGTGTCATGCTGCTTTTGGTGCTGAATTACACAAAACCAAATCTGACTCATCAACTCCAAAGTTGAACATCCTGATAGTGAGGTGAAGGTGTGGCAGATATTGTAAAGTATCCTTATCTAAAGATGCTGAGCTGACACAGCTGACTTCTCCATAACCATATGTAGACATATGACTGACAGTGAACCACTTTATACTATAAAAAGTACCACTTTATATATATACTATAAAAGTGCCAGATGGCAGGGATTTCTAGCACACTCCTTCTTGGAGCATGTGTGGAGATTCCTCCCTTGGGTGGGGACGCCTCTTAAGGTGAGATAAAGATGTTTGCCCACAATCATTGATATGGGTCAGTAACATTGATCTCTACTCAATGATTATTTCTTTTTTGGTAACTTTAATATCATTGCTTTAATACAGTACATTATTATATACTATACTAGCAGTGTTAGCTTCTATACCATGCAGTAAGTAATTCTGGATATATTTGTCTAATCATTTATCATAATAAATCATTGATTTTTATACATCTGGCTTGCCATCCTTAATTCTGCACGACAAAGTTGTACAAAGGTTCAATCAATGTGTATAGTTCCTTAGACTTATACCGTTGACCAAGTCTGGGGCTAAGATTGGATCCAACCACACCCAGACTCCTCTCTGAGGAGTTAAGAAAGCCAGAGGTCATTCTGCACCTTGTGACTCTATGGGAAGGCTTCTCTAATAAACTTTGAAGCTCCCCCTCCACCCACAACAGCATCGTACATTCCATTACCTCATGTCTTTTTAGAAACAGTTTCTGGAAATGCAGAGCTATGGTTGTTGTCAAACACTTTATTTTTCTACTTTTTTTTTTTTTTAATTTAAAAGTGAAAAAAAAACAAGAAAGTCCCATACAACCCAGAAAGAGGTTTAAAAAATATCCAGGATTATTTTCAAGTCTCTTTTTCTTATTAAGTGTTTCCTCATCTTTTCCCCAAAGAACAGAATATTTGGCAACATTTTAATTACACTGCCGATAAAAGTAGAAGTAGTAATCAGTAAAAAATATTCCAGCAAAGAAACGGTCAGTTGAGCAGCTAGCAAAACCCTGCAAAAGAAAAATAAAGGAGGTTCATACAGGAACTTCTCTCAGTTCAAATGCCATTTGTCTTTTGCTATGCTGCCCTTTGGAAAGGCTTACCGGCACAGCTACGCGGAAAGAGTACGCGCTGTCATACAGCTTAGCTACAGGGAGAGCCCAGACGTGCTGCCGTCCCTAGGCAACAAATGAGAGACAGATTAGGTAACCTCAATCCACGGGAAACTGGAGAGAAGGACAAATTCTGGAAGTATTTCATTGACAAATGCAGTGCAAGGTAATTATGATACCGAGACTTGATAACTACAGGCAAAGTATTTAAAGATGAAGTGCTGACTTTAAACCCTGCAAATGTGGGTTTGCTCTGATCAGCTCCACGTGGAGGTGAACTGGCAGGCATCTGACTTCCAGTGACACTCAGCTGGCTCTGAATACCTGGATTCCCTCACTCGTTTTCTAAGCAAATTCCCCCAAAAATAGGGATTGTTCCTGATATGCCAGGTGGCCTAAGAGCTTTAATTTGTAAAACTAGCAAATGGCAGTTCTGCTGATTTTGGGACAGCAACTTTAGCAGTGCTCAGAAGACGTAAAATTTCTTCCATATATTCTAAAGATATAGGTAGAGTCTTCACTCACTATTTCAAAACCAGATACCTATAAGGTTTCATGCTATTTTTTATTACAGTGTTCTGCTGTGCAAAAGTGAAACAACGTATTTTGTACCTGAAATATTTATGCTACAATGAATAAAACAAAATTCAGTCCTCTCTATTACCTAATGACCCACAGTAACTTATATTTCTAGTGTCTCAACTCCTTTATCTTTCTCTCCTCACTTCACTTTTCTGACACATCCTCTCTGCTGGAGACAATATGTTCACATGACAAAACCTACATGGGACTGGTGAGTCCAAATGATTGCTGTTCTGCCTTTTGGTAGGGAATAAGCCCTCCCATCCCTTGAAAAATCATCTTAAAAGAAACCTCTTCAACTAGGCAGCATTTCTATTCTGAGTCACATCAAATCTGAAAGCTTGCTGCTGCTGGAGGCTAGTTAGCTTTCATCTTTTGATGTGAATTTCAGGTTGACACAGGAAATCTCTTTGACCAGTTTTGTCAGTAAGCTTCAAGGACACTTCTGCATTGTGGAGCTCTCTATGTCTGACTTAATTTCAATTCTGTTGAAATTACAGCAGACAGGTCAAAACTTGGAAAATTTGGGCTTTCGGATGACTATGCCACTGTTACAGAGAAGCCTGAAACTTTTTGCGAGATATTTGAAAAGTTGAGCAAAAAGTCAGCTGGAGGTATCTAAAGTGCTGTAATCTGACTAAGCACAAAAAAAACCAATATCCAAACAAACAACACAAGTCAAGCAAAAACATGCTATGTATGGGATCATAGATCAGAATTCTGAAGACTCTTCTCCAGAAGAAATTGGAAATTACTTCCAAATTCAGAGATGTTTCTCCTACAATGTGTTCAGAAATGCTATTATCATTGCTTCTGCTTTTCCTGCTGTTTTAGCCAGAATAAACATTTCTGAACAAACATTGACAAATGGGGGCCCTGAAGGAGGCCTTTATGTCCAGGCAGCATGAAGAAAGTTTAAAGCCTTCGTCAATTTGCTGGAGATGCTTCAAGATTTGCAAGACCTGGTCACTAAATATTTTTTATTGGGAAAATCTAACCTGTTTTACCAGCTTTTATCCTTGTTGAGGCAATCCAGAGAATGACACATAAACAATTTTGCTTTTACAATGAAGAATTTTCCCTAGAGGGATTTATTGGTAAACTCCTGTTCACACAGAACTAAAGCAGAACATTACCATTGTTGCCAACAAATTCTAGACTTTAAAACTGGAATTAATTACCCGTAAGATAATAATGGAAACAATAAAGTAGATGAGAGTTTGGAGGACTCTCCTAAAGCTCTGAGAGATAAGTTATTCCCATTTCTTAAATATCTCTGGAGTTATAATAAGTTGTAGTGGTGGCTTAGACTGCGGCAGAATCAAAACTGTCCTTTCAGAGAATTATTATGGATAGATTTTTATAAAAGTCAGCAGAAAACTGACTCCAACAAAAAGACTGCATCTCATTATGGTCATGCCAAAGCCAGCCATGACTGACAGACTCAAAGTACCAGCATTTGGATTTCTAGTACTTCAACAAAGATCAGAATTTTGCAACCATTAGTTTCATAAAAAAGACTCTCAAAACCCAGAGTATTGCTACAAAAATCTTACCTGTGTGGTTTCTTGAAAATTCTTCCTAGTGTTTTGGCTTGAAGAATAATGAGAGCAATAATTTCCAAATGTGACTTTGCAGAGAAATATAATTAATGGTTCTGTGGTGCTTCAAGAAACAGAGAAAAAGAAGGATAAATGGCTTTATTAAAAATAAAATCAGTTGCCCCCAAACCACAAACCAATATTCAAAATACACTCATACTCAGTGAAACTCTGGATATGATGTATTAATCCCTACATGGGAGGGCTATACTATTGGGTTATAATGGCATACATTTAAAAGACAAATTTTCAGTGGCTGTAGAAAACAAGCAGACACTTCAGGAGTACTGTTATACTTCATCTTATCTGAAAAATGCAGATGTTTACAGGGATAACCTTGAAGATCAAAAGACTGGACGAATCCTTTGTTGCAGAGACAGAAGTCATGAGCTGTTGTCAAGCAGATTGTTTGGCTGCTTTTCTGGCTATTGCTGGCCTTTCTCAGAATAAAACTCCAAAATAAATAACTCTTCCCTCTGGGAGAACACGGTGGAGGTGGGCTTTTGAGGAGAAAATACCTGCTGAAAGGAATAAGTCCGCTGCTTTTCCCTGCTGTAAGTGACAATTTTATGCCACATCAGAAGTTCTGCATAAGAATCTCCCTTTTACAGGGCTTGGCACAACAGGCCAAAGCAGACACTCTCCGGAGTTACTCATGTTATGTTCCTAAAAATGTTTCTCTGCAACAAAAGAAAAATCAGATCCCTAGGCCAGAGACCACAATCCTGCTAATGCACACATACGTGTCTGCTCAAATGCTTATTAGGATTGAAGCTTAAGACTCCTGGATTTCAATACCTGCAACATTGGATGAAATCTTCCTTGAGCTGAGAATGGTATTCCCACTCCTCTGAATAGGACAAATTTGTGTAACAACAGACATCAGGCAAGAATTTCTATCAAATGAAGAACCACTGTTGTCTTTTGCATCCATTCCTTTTAATTGTACTTACTTTATTTCCAGTGAGATTTCTACATCCATGGGCGTGTATTTGTTAATAGGAATAACATAGCTGTAGTTTCCAGAGCTGAAAAAGGTTGTATTAATACACATGGGATTTTGACATAGAGAGTATCTTCACCAAAACATGGAAATTGCATTTAAACAGAAAAAACCATAAAAAGGTATCAAAGACTACTGTATGCAAGAGAAAACAACTGTGACCAGAAGCAGCCAGGTCACAATAATAGTGTTTTGTTCTACTATAGCATAATAAAACAATTATTTTTATTATTTTATTAAATAATAAAATAATAATTAATAAAAATTCACCTACCTGCACTGCAGATTTTTACTACAATAGCGATTGTCAATGCTTTGCTGAGTTTCCAAAATCTGTATGGAACTGATTGTTGTATCAATCCCTAAAAATATTAAGAACAATAGTTTTTTCTTGATTATTATAGAAATCTTAGATAAGAGCATAATAAAACTGCAGTTAGTCTACTGCCTTGGTTGCCACCACAGGACTTGCTGCAGGTCTAAATTAGCACTCAGTTAAAAGCCCCTGGTTGAGTACTATCATTCTGCCACTGGAGATAAGAGCCTTGTTCAGTTTGCAAGGACAAATATCCTGGGAACTTAACATTGCACCATTTTCTTTTGGTCCTCAACATCAACAGATGTTGAAGGCTACTTTGATGGCAGCCCAAGTAAAACTCAAATATGCCAATACTCATTTTAATGTACTAGAAGCCATACTCATTCAAGTAACTAACTTGAAAAACCTCATCTTTGTTGAGAGGAATAATATGGAATGCAACAAAACTTGTTTCTCATTCTCTGTGGACAAAAACTACCCAACTTAAATGAAAATTATTATTTCTTCATATAATGTTGCCTTGGACTTGCAAGAACTTTTGGTTTTGCAAGAGTTTTGTAATATTCTACAGATAGATGATGAGTTTATGCTCATAATCTTATGAGATTTATACATGTTTATAATGAGTTTATAATCATCATCTCTCTGTAGAATATTACAAAATTAAAACATTGATTTTCCCTTAGGCAGACACCGTGTGTCTGAGAGTGCTGTCCAAATCCTTCCTGAACTCTGGCAGCCTTGGTGTCATGACCACTTCTCTGGGGAGCTTGTTTCAGTGCTTGACCAACCTCAGGGTGAAGAATCTTTTCCTAATAGCCAGCCTAAGCCTCCCCTGACACAGCTTCCTGCTGTTCCTCAGGTCCTGCCACTGGTCACCAGAGCAAAGAGATCCGTGCCTGCCCCTTCTCCTCTCCTGATGAGGAAGCTGTGGGCCATCAGGAGGTGTCCCCTCAGCATCCTCTTCTCCAGGCTGAACAAACCAGGGGATCTCAGCTGCTCCTCGTACAGCTTCCTCTGCAGACCCTTCACCTGGTGTTACAAAGTGATGCAGAAAGGAGGACTTGGCTCAGCAGGCCCATGCCCTTCACATCAGGCTGTGCACACTGGGTTTGTGTTTCTGCTCCTCTGTTCCACAGCAACCATTCACTGCTTTGCAGAGAAATTTGAGTATAGGGTGACCTGTTCTCTGATTATGAAATCTCTGTGTGGTAGTATATGCTTAATTTTCAGCACGCAAATATCTGCAAGTGTCAAAGGGAAATTGAGCATGCTCATCTCAGAGAAGTAGCACAGGGAACATTTCCCTATCACACAGCAACTCATTACTCATGAGAGGATCCCATCTGAGGTGTGTGTACCCATGCAAAAAAAATCAGAAGGGGAATGATTTTTCCCAGATCATCCCACTGGGGCACATCCAGGCAACAAGCAGAACCCTGTTCTATTCCTCACCTGCTTTAAATGCATGGTCAAGATGTCTAAGTCTAGATGTTTTATCATCCAAACATTGCCTATTCTTTAATCAAACATTTATTTAAAAAAAAATAATAATAATAATAAATTTAAAAAACCTAAGCCTTAAAAGAGAAGATTCACATAAAGCAAAAAGACACAAGGCATAATCCTGCTCATAGTGAATGTGTGCCAGAGCATGCTGTTATAACATATGTAGTCAGCAGATACTCATCTTTACATAAAAGAATCAATATTTTCAGCCCAGGCTGACTCTGACAGCAGTGCACAGTCACTAAAAGGGAAACCTGAAATCAAGCCAAGCTTCCTGTGTCAAGGAACTTAATTTCATCTCCTCTGAAGGCAGTGTCAGGATCTGAAGGTAGGGATGGCCCCTTTGAGCAGCTGACATTTTAATCCCTTAGGTGAGATGAGGTAAACCCCAAACACTTCCTTCACACTGTATCATGAGTTTCCTGCACATGAATATCACACTTGTATCCTTAAGCAGAAGATTTTAGTCCCTGTCAAGGAAAAGGCCACTTGTCATTTTATTGTATCTGAAGCCAAGCCTAAGAACTCTCTAGAAAGGGCAGTCAGAATGTCTATAAAAATCTAATAAAGATATAAGAATAAACTGAAAATTACAGTGAATCACAGGTTTCCTGTTGTTCACAGGAACTAGACTCACAAGTGCTAATTCTCTATAATGATGAATTACAACTGAAACTTCTCTAAAGTCCAGAAGCAGAATTCAAAGCCTAAAAGTAGATCTTGAAAGTTATACAAGTAAATATTTTAATTTTTTTTTTCATTTAAATATAGGACTTACAGTCATTTCCAAGATCAGGTCTTCCACCAGGTTTTTTGACAGGATCTCCTTTGGGTAACATGTCACTTTTGTTCCCTGTAAAAGGATGAATGTACAAACATCCCCCAAATTAGCCTTGCACGATTGTAACAGCAAAAATATGAATACAAAACCAGAAGATATTTTGTTAATTATCTCTTGAATAAAGACATGCATAACCACGAGAGAGATCTTTAAAATACAAAGCACCTCCATTCAGAAGAAGATATACACAGTCAAAATAAGTTTGCAGATTACAAGTTTTTGAAATCTACAGACTATCAAAAACATTTCCAAAACATAGCCTAATAGAAAAGACTTCATCACACACAGAAAACACCACCAATTTCTATAACAGCAAGCCAAGCTGAAAGTCAATATGCAGCCAGGCACTTCAGCACAAATCTGAACATAAAGCCACATCTTTCTTATTAGTGAGAAAATCACATTAGGAATTATAGGCATCTGGTGTGCAAATACAGGCTGCAGGAACAACCCAGATTTTTGAATGTGAGATGTTAAGATACTGAGGACTGAGCCAGTACTTCAGAGAGAGTGTGTATAACCAAATAAAAAAAGCTAGCACAAGTCTCTAATAAATGATCACCATGTTCCCTGATGTCACCTCTGTACCTTCACACATGGAACTAGGCTGTGTAACATAAGCTGACAACTTCATTTTTTAATTGTTATTCTATTAATTTTCTCAACACTTGCCTAGAAAAGTGAACTTTAAAGGTATTTTGAATAATCACCATAAAGTACAACCAGGGAAGGCAAATGGCCCTTCAAGCCCTTGGGAAATGGTCTAATGCTATTCCTGTGCTTCTACACAGATTGCCAGCTAAGAATCTGTTCAGAGGCAGGCAGCTGGCACTGGGAAATGCTGATCTTGCCTAAACTAATGTGTTTCACTGAATATCGCTTCTAGAATACCAAAATACTCCATTACTAGGTTTTCCAAAGGAAACTTTCTGATTTCAGAATGACTGTTTCATGATAGGATGCAGGGATCAAAATGCATTATTACTGAGACTGAAGCAAGACAGCTGGATTGACCTTATTGTTTTCTTATTCATTCCAGATTTGGATTTCATTTCAGGATTGGGAAATAAGAAAATCCAGACTTTTCTCATGCTAGTAGGTGACCAAGAGCATGGAGCAGCATTAACAAATGGAATCCAAAGGCCCAGAAGCGATGTAATACAAAATCATCTTTGGGATTTTAATCTGCCTTGTGTTTTTTATAAAACTCTAATACTGCTGCCAGCTATTCCTTGAATTCATTTCCTATTTACTAACTCATCATACAGATCTACAGGTTCTGCCAGATTTGGTGGTAACTGCTGCATTCGGTAGTCATCTGCTGTCCCATGTCATTAAACAGTTCCACACACCTAGGAAAATGGCTACTGAACACATGCAATCACTTATACACACACAATCATCTTGGGGCAGATCTAATAAAAGCCTGTTCATTCTCTCATTCCTCCCTTTAATTCACAAACTAATTGTCACACATTCATTTTCTCCTGACTTCTCTTAATAGTCCAGATATGCTAGCAATGCATTAAACACCGTAATTTTGCATTTTCATTAACAGAGAGCTATTCTGTAGAAAACCTATATCCCCTAGTGGAGGTAAAAGATTGCTCTATGCAGATTAAATAGTTCATCCCATGCAAGTGTTGATGGGAATATTTATTAAAAACTTGGAGTTAGTAAACACTTAAAATTGCGATTCTTTTGCAGGAGGTGGAAGAAAGCATTAAGCAGTATCAGAATTTTGTACAAAAACCAGGATAAAGACAGATTTCCTTCATTAAGACTTCCACTATTTACACTGAGTCAGTAACCAGCATAGAACTTTAGTTTCACTTGGGTTTTTACTTATCATAGAATTATAATTTCATTGTTCTTTCAGATATTGCAATCTAATTTTTTAATACAAGGTGCCAATTGAGAAGACCAAGAACTACCACAAAGCAGCACAGCAACCTTTAATAAATTGTAAATAAAATTCCACTCTTTCACATATAGTAACACTGATGGCTTTCTCAAAGCCCCACATGGGGTGTGAAGTTCCAATTCAATAACAAATAACCAGCATGACAAGAATGTAATGAGGAAAACCATCATCTTCAGATATGATTAAGAAAAACTCATCCAATAAATGTAGTATATTTTTTCCCCTCAAATACTCTATGGTTTTAATTCAAGTGAGTTGCAATATTCTGTAGGCAGCATGGGGAAAATCAGCTGATGATTTCTCATTGTGGTGGTACTTTACTATGAATCTGTTAACTGCCCTCTGAAGGCAATAAATGGCAATGCCTGAGGCTGACCAAAATCCAGCAGGAGCTCTCACCAACCTTTTATTGTGAGGGAAGAGACACTGGGGAGAAACAACAAGTAAGGACAGCTCCTGGTTATTGGTGGCACTTAACATTAAGGGGAGAGCAGTGAACACTAATGGCATGGAAGCAGAGAGCAGGAAAAGCCCAAATGCTGGAGGGTATTCACATTCCTCAATTCCACTGAAATCAATGGAAGTTCAAAAGCCCAAATCCTCCAGAGAAATCAGTTAAAAGAAAATATGAGGAATAAAGGTCACATTAATCTAGGTGACATAAAGATATGCTGAGTTTTTGTTTAATAATTTTTCTCTTGCTTATGAATGCTTTTGCTTCTACTTGAACTTTCCGAGCAGACTTTTCATCAACAGCTCCGGGATGCAAAGGATTAGCACCTACAATGCATGCAGTAGTCTGCACCCACAGAATTCAAGTATTGCACGTGGAGCAGCAAAAGGTCTGTAATAATTCCTGAATTAGTATTTAATTTAATTGCAATTTCAAACAGCTCTGCCTTTCCATGAATCAGACTGATCAGCTGATTCTAAAGCATCCAGTTTTTATCATGATTATTCCCCATATTTAATGCTTAGTTTTTTCTGAAAACATTTTCCTTTTCATTTATCTTGGCTACAGCTACATTAAACAGCTTGTTGGTTTTCCTTCTGTTTGGATTTCATGTTGACATTGTTACCTTCCATCTGGGGGATATATTCAGGTTCATTAAACTTGTGCAGAACTGAAATCTTTCAGTAGCTTGTGTACTGTGCTGATTTTTCACTCTTGGATCCACTCTTAATGCTATTTGGAGCATAAAACCTTGAGAAGGTAATGCTTTGTGTTTATTCTTATCTTCTCTTTCCACCTAATATCAGAAGCAGCCAGCTGAGGATAGAAGGTTTTCATATTTCATTTTCATCCATCTATAATTCCTTCACTTATAAATGAGATTAACATATTCTTAATTAATCAACACTCTTTCAGGTTTCAGAGCAATACAAATCACACAGGTATGACCTCTTGAAAGCTGTATTGAGCTCCATCTGCCACGGCCTTACTGCAGCACTGATCACAAGAATCTCAAGGAGTAATCACACACAGCTTGTCTGCAGAGGAAAGAACAGCCAGTGGGTGAGCCCCACCGAAACAGCTCACCCTGAGAGTGCCACAGCCACTGGTGATGCCTGCCCTGACAGGCATTTGTACTTCAGAGGCTGAACTGCATCCATCCCCAGTTTCATTCACTCTGTCAACTGTGCTGCAAGGATTGTTCCCAAGGCCAAGATAAGAAGAGTATGAACGCTGGTTTAGTCATAGTGACATTTGCTTCCACACACTGGGTATGTTAAGGACTGGGAGAGAGGAATACAGATTCCTACAAGTTATGCATACCTTTATGAATTAACCCTTTCTTATAAATATGACAAAAGTTGTAAACAACACATCTCAGGCACTACACATACAACATCTGGCAGACAGTATCACTAAAATAATTAATTCCAGTAAAAGTTGTAACTATGGTATTTTATGAAAAATCCTTTGCTAGGACTTTTCCCTCCTGAGGAGCTGGGAGGCCCAGGAAAGAAATGTAAACAATAACTATCTGCTGCTGTGGAATGCAACAGGTGCATCTTCCATTGGTCCATGTGGATTGATGACCAATCACAGCCACCTGTGTCGAGGCTGTGAGCAGTCACAAGATTTTGTTATGCATTCTATTCTATTCTTGTTCCTTCAAGCCTTCTGATGATCTTTTTCTCTCTGTTCTTTTAGTATAGTTTTAATATAATATACACCATAACATAATAAACCAGCCTTCTGAAATGGAGTCAAGCCTCGCGTCTCCACACTTGGGGTGCTCACAACAAAAACTATTTTATTTTACAGAGCTCTGCTTTCAAATACTACTGTTCAAAACCCCTGCCTTAACAATCAGAGTTTTAAGTGTAAGTTTTATGTTTTCAGGCAGTTGGCATTCTGTCTCTGCCCATAGAAATGATGTAGTACCACCACATTGTTACACAATTCAGTTTTTTTGGGGTTTTTTGCATCTGTTAATTAATTCTCTACTAGCCCTAATCAACTCACATCCAAGTGTAGGCAAAGGTCAATTAAAGGGATTACTGACTTTCCAGTTCACATCAAATAATTTACCAAGAATGGCCAGGAAAAACAGTGACACCAGCCAAGTCATCTTAGGGTCCCAAATTCTTAAGGGTAACCAGACTGGATTTTTCAAAAACATATTCACTGCAGTGATGATTAGTTATATCAAGATTTTTTTTAATCGTCTGGACTAAGTTCTTTTGTAGAAAGCTAACAACCTTTAAAGATTCTGGCCCCTTCCCCCACACTTTCCATACAGCTTCTGCTCAAATTATAAAGAATTACATTTTCAACTTACGTTTTTCCTTTGCATTATTTTTTTCATAACGTAGAAATTTGACTTTTGGTTGATGAATTGGACAACAATAGACCTTGTCACAAGGTAAAATGTCACAGAAATTCACTTCAGGGATCCTGCTGATGGGCTGTGTTGTCTGAGAAACTGTGCTTTCACTGGGCAATGCTAAAAAAAAAGCAAACAACAACAACAAAAAAACCAAAATATAATTCCCACAAATGCTGTGTACTGGCATTTTATAATAGCCAATTATGTGTATGCAGACCAGCAGAGACAGTACCTGCTGTGGTAGTAGAGGGAGAGACTGAAACAGAACTTGGAGTACTGCTGATGAAGAAAAACAATTCATTAAGAAACGGACATTAGAGTTGAAGACCAAAATAAATTGATCCACAGTCTATTAGTGATTCCACTAATTTGAATTCACTAATGGTGATTTAACTACTTGCCTGTAAACTGGATGTTTTTCAAAACGGCTGTCATGAAGGCTAAGTAAATATAGGCTCCATATTGTCAAAGCACTGTAGAAAGAGAATTGTTCTGTAGATTTACATCCATCTTTTATGCAACACAATAGCAATAATACCTTGACAACATTGTGTCAAAATGCAGTCACGCAAGTGTTAACTATCTGATCACTTTAGTGGGAAAAATTTCAGCTGAATTTAATGGGGTTTAGATCAAATACTTGTATGCAGTATTGTGTTCATGTACTTGTATTCAACACAAAATACGGCCACTTTCCAACATAAATAGAATCACACCACCAGCTCAAAGTACTCAGGTCACAAAAAGATTGATTGTAACCCACAGGGTTTTGGACTGGAGACAGAAAATGGCAATCTCAGAAGTCCAGGGCATACTTTCCTTTCCACAAGTCCAATGTCACAAGTTAAACTTCCAGTCACATAATTGCACACCACAGTGGGAACAAGTTCAGCTTCATTTCACACAACAGAATCACTCTGTACATCAGAAATTGTACTTAGGCACAGAATGACTGGGTAAAGCATGCAGAGTACAGGTTTGCACCTGTAGTACAAGCCACTGAGGTAGACTCAAGGTGCACCATTCATTGTGATGTGCAGAGAGATCAGGTGTGTGTCCATCCCATGAGTACCTTACTTTTATACAATGGTTTCAACTTTACAATATTACCAGGGATATTAATTGTTAATCTTAATACATTGTGTTCTTAAGTAGGAAGGGAAAAGAAGAAGAAAAAGTGCTATATTCTTTCAGATAAGTAGAAAGGGGAATGGAGAAACAAGTCAAATTGTTGTTAATTAATTGTTACCATAGTGCCATAATAGCAATCAAAGCTATTATAGTCACCCGGAAAATCTTCACAGATTTGGTCTTTGATAAGCAAACCTAGGGTAAAAAAAAATTTGGTTAATTCAAATGGCACATATCTAAGCAACTACTAGTAGATTAAGAAATACTACACTGGGATGACTTTACATCACCTTTGTTTCTTTCCTGATCACCCCTATATACGGGTCAACACCTACAGAGAAAAACTTCAGTAATTAAGAGGTCCCTAAGACTTTCAGTGCACTGTGCATTGTTGATAGTTTGGGGGCACAAACATTGTAGAAGAAGAAAGGATAGATAAAAATAACAGCTCCTTGTCCTTTCTTCCTGCCATTTTTAATACTTTTGAAGTATTTCAAAATCAAATAAAGAACTCAGTAAGTGTCCAGAACTAAAAGCTCAGCAGCTTTCATTTTGTGCTCAGACCATGTGAAAGCAGGACTGGTACAAACACAGAAGAAAGGCACTTTCCAAACAAGTAGGATAATCTTAGATGATGGAGCATTTGACTGTCATTATGGCACAAAGCATATTTGACCTATTATTTTCTCTTGCTCTTTGGCACTGGCACAAGCAAAGTAGGCAAATGAGCATTGGTTCATATTAAAGAACAGGGCTTGGCAGCCTAGGAAGACTGTCTTGAAAAAGGTCAATAGATGTATTTCCTGACTCATATGATCCCTTTGAAAAGGGGTATCCACTTCCTATTCCATGATACAGGCAAGAGAAAGTGAAAGCAAATCCCGGTGAATGACTCAGACAAGGATTTCATTTCACTCACCTTCCTGGATTTTGGTGGGACTGATTTTACTGATGGCAAGAGACTATTAGCTCGACTATACCTGCTGTAAGAGACAAGATCTCTTTAACATTCAAATGCTTCAGCAAGTAATGAATGAAGAAAAGACATTTTTAATGTGTTAATGTCAACTTGCTTTTTCAATTTTAACATTTACAGAGGGAAAGGCAGAAGTGCCAGCAGATTCATTTTCAAGGGTAAAGGTTTCCAGTTAACTCACTCAGGTGAATGCTCTTAAATGCTACATTTGATTTCGAAGAAAACTTGGGGAAATGGATTAGATAGAGGAAACATTCATCACTTCCACTGAAGCACCAGTGAAAATTCTTTCTTGCAGAAGACAATCTTCAGATTTGCTTTAGAAACAATTTCCAAGTCCCAGAGCTGTAACTGGACATAATCTACCCTTTACTTCATGCAGCAGAAGCAATTACAAAAATTACTATAATTTAACAGCCGTTTCATACATTAATTTCATCAGTGACTAAAAAAATTTGAAAAATTTGGGGTCTTTTGAACAGCTTAAATACTGGAAAATAGCTGAACTCTACCGTCAAGTAAAATCGGTTTTCACCTCTATCGCTTTAGAGATCAACTTAACAACTTGTGTGACAGCCATTAGAGAACATCCCAGCCAGAGGTACCTGACTTTGCTCTCTTCACTGACTGTTGACTTTAAACTGTTGATCCGTTTCAGCCTGGCCAGTTTCCTATTCCACTGTTCCAATTCTTCTATTCTGACTTCAAGATTGTTTGTTAGTTTACAAAGCTGCTTTACAGCACCAACATTCTCCATGAAGATCTGATCCTGAGAAGAAAACAGTGACAAAAGCAGGTCCATAGTAGGTACATAGTATATTCATCAATCAGGTGTAACAAGCAGAAATGAGTGCAGAATTCACCTAGAAAAACACAAGTTATCTCACTGTAGATGGGATGCATGTATGACCATAAAACCCTTTTGCTAGACATTTAATTTGCAGTAAACTGAAAATGAGAACTTGCAGAAAAATTTGAACTAAAGGGCTTTTTACATCAAGAACTTAAATCGTATTTTACCTTCATACCATGTTGAAACCTTAACACTGTTCCAGCAGGCATCTACTACTTGATTTTTCTGTGCTTTAGCTGAAGACAGATTTTACAATCCCTTAGCAAATTGTACATCCAGCCCTCTCCCTACAGGTATTAGGTAGGCTCAGACAAACCAGAGTTTCTATCCATGTTGTACAAATATTATTAATCACACAGAGATACGTGACACAGATTAAAAACCAAACCAGACGTCAAGCTGTGATTATATAATATTTTGCTCTCCCCTTCAGCCTCTCAAGTCTCTTACAGGAATCTTGCAGGTTCTAATAACATGATCATCTCTGCAACTAAAACAGTTTAGACACCCTCCATTTACTCCTTCTGGATATTTTACTCGGGAAAAGCCTCCTATTCTCCTACCCCTGCTTATCATCTCTGTATCAATCTTCTGCTGGAAATGCCCTCAGTATAATCATCCAGGCAGTATTTTATCCATTTCTGAGTCAAAAATTGTTATTGATCCACTGCAGGAGCATAGTAGAATACTTTGTTGTGTGTGAAAGAATGGCTTTCTCATACTAATGTCCAACCAGACTGCTGCCTTTGGATGAAGCAATTACTGCAATTAATGTTGTTGTGTTCCAGTCTGGTCAAGTTAAGCAGAAGATAAAAGCAGTTTTGCCTTTCACATTGTTAAAGCCATGCACACCTTTCTTTTAAAGGTGACTGCATTCCACAAAAGCAGCCAGCATTTCATGCAATCAGAATCAGAGCACACTATCAGCTGCCAGTCACAAGCTTCCCTACTGCCAGAATACCAAGAGCCCATTTAAATAAAATGTGACTTCAAAATTATCTCTTGTACCTAGAACTGTGAAATCACTAATACAGACACTTGCCCTCGTATCAATGATACATTGCAGCTGCCCTTCCCATTGTCTTCAAATCAAGCATGAATTGCTTCTAGGTGGCTTCAACTAGCTGAGAAAATTGCTCTTCTCACAAAATGAAGGAACACTCTATTTGAGAGGAAAAAAACTGACCAGAGTTTTACTGCCCTTCTAGTGACAAAGTACTGAGCACAGTGTGAATGAGAAAAAAAGATTCTGTTTCAAAAGACAAAATTGCATATAGTTGAGACATTTCTCTAGAAAGCAGCAGACCCTGGTTCAAATGTAATGTAATCAATTAGTTTTACAGAGTTCAACAGGCCCAAACTGACAAAGAGACACAACACCAGCCAGCACCCTACTTATCTGGAATATGAGATAATAAAAGTTCAAGGTCTCATCACCTGCCAAAGTGAAAGAAGAGAAAAACACTGTCCATTTATTATTCAAGCTGCAAACCTATTCTGGAGCTGGGAGCTCCAGAAATTTAAATCAGGTGTTCCACCTGAACAAGACATGTTCCAAATCTCTGAATTCAATATATGTCTTAAACTGTTGGACACTGATCTCTCCTGATCCTGTCACCCCAAAGGTCATGGAATTGACATTCACATGCTCTGCCACAAGTGTTAGGAGAAAAAGAAGAAAGCACAGATTTATCTGACTGTATTAAAACACCAAAGTGCCTGTGCAGTAACCCCAGATGCAAATCTAGACAAGTAGTCAAGAAAACGCTAAGCAGCAAATAAACCATTGCTGTAACAATCCAGTCCTGCTTGGACCACATATGCAGTAGGATCATACCCTACGGGCATGAATAGAAAGTAGGCATTCTCCATTTGTAGGTCACATCCCCTGTCAAGTGCTCTCCAGAGAGCCAAGGTACAGAGAAGAAAGGGAACATGATGGGCCCAAACAGCAGTGCTGTGAGGCACTGGTTGAGATGGTATTTTGTGTGATATTTCAGCAAGGAAGAGATATGAATCAAAAGCTCAATTCTCCAACCTAAACTTCTGCCAGATGAAAAACCAGAGTACCTCAAAGAAATTTTGGAGGCATTCAAAAATGCAAATGATGGTACAGGTGTCATACCATATAACTGGAAGGCCTAAAGGGCAAAATTAACTTGGAGTCAACTACCACCACTGCTCTTCTGCTAGCATCTAGAAATCAGCTACAGGGTGGAACCCTGACCAAATAGAGCAAATTTTCTAAAAATCTCCTTTTCAACAGTATCTCTAGAAGTGCTCTTTCCACAGCTTTATTCAAGGTATCTAATTCATACTTCTTTTACATGGAATACAACCCAGAAGATTTAATTTAAATTATTTATAGCCTATCAAAAGATGACAAGTGAAATATTTTTCTCCAAGTTTGGTGGTGTAAACTTGTATAGAATAATGAAAGAATGCATTATGATAATGAATGCAGGATTGTGTTCATGGTATCTTCCAGACAGATAAAGTCACCTTTCTCTAAAACCTCTCTCCTCATTATCAGCTGCAAGTGGGAAAAAGCTGGGAAGTGGTCTTTGGCATGCAGTGAACCAGCACTCAGCAGAGGGGCTGCCTTGAGCCAAGTGCTGTCTGCAGCCTTGTGTGACTGGACTCTGTGACTGACAGTCCCTTGCAGCTGTATTTCCACAGGAAAAGGAGGAGAAGAGAGCACAGGGCAATACCTCAGCAGTGTTTCCAGCCTATGAGCATGGTAATTATTTTGTGTGACATTTCATAGCATATGATTTCGAACCTATAAAAAGCATTTCAGATTGCCAAAAAAAGCCCCTACACATAGAGCTAGCACTTGGATTTGGTATGTAAAGGTTATACCAGGATTAGAGTAAGGAAGTTTTTATTTAACAAACTGAATGCCATCATTGCTTATTCACTTGTGGAACACTTAATTAACTGAAACACTTAAGCACAAAATAATGTTTTGGAGTACCACTTGTTGAATCAATGCTATGAAATCACTATCCACTTCTATTCAGAAAAGTTAGGGCTTTTTCTTTTTAACTGTATGTGTATATAGAATTGTAACCAGTTTTTAATATAGATACTTCTTGTCATTAAAAGATTCAGCCCATTACTAGCAGCTGGTGGTTCAGTTTTTCTCCATGATTCACCAAACACCCTTTCTGTAACACATTGGGGACTACAGATTTTTATGGGGCACAGCACATGTTCACAGCTCCCCACATGAAAGAACAGTCTAAATGCACATCCCTACTTTCTCCCTCAAGACCATACCTTGTCAACCATGAGGAAGTTTTCTATTTTTTCTCCATCATTACAAGCAACATCTCCAACTTCTCTAACAGCTTCAGGTAAAAGCTTCTTCACTTCCTGGGCTATTATTCCTGTTCAGGAGGTTACAGAAACTAATGTCAAGAAACACACTGGCATATCCATTGACCATTCTAAAAACTACAGCCAAAGCAGAAAAGATTATCTAGAATTTCTCTGGGGTAGGAAGATCCAGGATTTCAAGGATTTTTCTCCATTCCACAAGAAAAAAATGCCAGAAACCTTTAGAATTCTCATTTTTCTGCAGAAAGAACAAAATAGTCTGTAAGCACATACTTCATTCTCATTAAACTTCTGGAAAATAAACTTCCCATCTTTAAGAATTGAAACAGAAGTTGTAAAAGTACAAACAATACCTAATTTTGGCATTTTTATACAAGAGATACACAGCAAAGTGTGAAATTGCAGTAACCTAAATAATGAGGATGAAATAGCAGGATATTAAAAGACACTATGGCACAATATCAGTAGAGGTTAATGAAAAATGGGAACAGAGCTGACTTTATACCTGTTTCATGGGTATCTTTTATTCCCATAACAGATGCAAATTCAGGCTTGTAGTCATATTCCACCAGCCTCATTTGTGTTATTCTTCTCAACTGCTCATTTGTGTCGACCTAGTTGGAAAAATGCCAAGATTTACACATTGAAACATTAAGCATGGCATCTAGGACACCACTGAGAGAGCAACTAGCCTGACACAGTCATTTGGCCAATCATCACATACAAAAACACAGACAACTTTCCTGTTCCCCACTACCAGAGTGCTATTTGTATTTGCACTGCCAGCTCCCCTTCTGTTTGACAACTCCCAGCTTCCGCAGAGAGCCTTCTCCAAAGTCTGTAGGCGGTGGTTCTCAGGGCACAGCGGCACATCTGCCCTCTTTAAGCCAGCCTTTCAGCACAGCCAGGATACAGGAGCTGCTTCTCGCGTGGGAACAACGATCCCCCGCGCTGCAGCGTGAACAGCACCGCCCTGGAGGCTGCACGGGGCTCACCTCGCGGATGTTCTGTTTTGCTCGGCTGTCGGAGGGGTGCATGACCCTGCCCATCACTTTGGCGTTCCCGCAGACCACCAGCGCTTCGTCCGGCACGTCGGTGTTAATGCCCACGCGACCGTGGTAGGCTACGGTCTCCGGAGCACACCCTCGCTGCCACAGCACATCGCTGTCGTTCTCAAACTGCCCTGGGTTAGATGCCTGGAAGGAAATCGTTTGCTTGAAGATACAGTATAGCATAGATGCACTATTGTTCATTGTTGCGGTGCGATGTCATGGTTTGCCTCGGATACCCCGGGTTTCTCCCTGAAGATTCCTTCCCCAGGTGTGTCACTCACCTCTCCTTTCCCCACCCTGACTCCTGCTGAGTACTGCTTGTCAGTCCTGGATTTCCAGAAGGCTGTTGAGTGATTGGGCAGATTCAAAAGATGTCCTCCACCCCTGGGGGGCATTGGCCCATCCAGGTGTCCTTTGTCCCTGGAGACCTCCTCTCCCATACCTGGTTGGTGGTCCCCGTATTCCTTTCCTCCCCCTCTCCCCCGGGTAAAAGGGCAAGCAACCATGCAGTCGACAGTTCTGTTGGAGCTGTTGCTACATTCAGAGGCCTGTGGGCCAGAATAAGAACCCTGGATTGAAACCCTCCATCAGAACCCACTCCTTCCTTCACCATCGCCTTAAAGCTTCTCCAGCACAGGGAAGCCTGTGGAGCGACCCTCTAAGAGAGGCAGCTCATCCCAGCTCCACTGGAGCTCCGACACGCCTGGGCTTGCCCCAATGTGCCCAGCTGTGACTCACGGCCAGCCAAAGGTGTCTCTGGGGTGAAAAACCACAGCTGCTGCCATTTGGTTCAGCAGCAGGGCCCAGAGAAACCAAGGCTTGCCCCATTCAGCAATATTGGTAACTCCAATAGTTTATTCTATTAGAATAGTTTATTCTATTAAAAATACAGGGAAAATGAAAAGCCAGGTCTTAAATATTGAAATTGTGTTCAAGAACTTTTTAACACACTAACAGAAAAAAACAGAGTGGCGTTATTTCTAAGGGTTTCTGCTCACACTGCACTGGCCTTGTGCTTTTTTCCCTTGAATTCTACTTTATTAGCCCCTTAAGCTAAGTCGACAATGTCCAAAGCTTTCCAAATTTTAACTTTGACATTATACCACATAACTATTCTTTATCTACCATTAAATTTTAGCTGAGACTGGAAATCAGAAAATAGAAAGCAATGTAAACACATGTGATTCATAAAATCCTCTGTAATGTTTTAAATTAACTCATCTTGAAAATTTCATGTGAAGGAAACAGGGCCTTTTAAAGAACACCAATAAAAGAACAGAATGTGTATAACAAGAAAAGGCATTTTATTCCAATAGTTCATTTTGGGTTGTTTGTTGTTTTGGGTTTTTTTTTTAACTTTGTATTCAGGCCAAAACACAATCATGACAAAAAGAAGCCAGGCTTTCACAAGGCTCTGCCAGCTACAAGGCCTGGCACTGTGTACTCACCACTGTTTGTCACAATTAGAGCATGATCTGATAAGCCTGACAAGCCCCACTCAGCTGGTAGCTTTGCTGTGTTGGAGTGTCTAAATGGCCAGAAGATGAGCTGCTTTTCCTCACAGTGCATTTGTATGGCTTTGCCACTTTAAGGTAGCCAGTGGCTGATTTCCTTTACCCTGCCACTGAAGCCCTGTTAGACAGGTAGACAATTTCTTTTTTTCCTGTTGATATTTTCACTATTTCAGACCAGAGCTTCTTGATCTGACCTTTTTTTTCCTCTGTCTGAAATAGTGGCCAGATTTGAAAATTATCATTCCATAAATTCCTGTTAAAAAACTGTCTAACATGAATTAAAGGAGCCCTCTTCATCGAAATTTCAAAATAATCTAATATTAAAAATAGTTGGAAATGTAAATTTCTAAATCTTACATGAAAATATACATCTCATAAAGTAACAAGAATGAGACAATTGTGAGAATTCAACAGCTTTCCCAAATTATTAATGATGTGATATCTGTAACAATGTCAGATCCAGAAAAAGAAATTCAGATGAAAACAGGATTGTGGAAATTAATGGACAAATAAAGGAAAATAACTATATATGCAGGAATGATGCAAACACACTGCTTCAGCATCCAGCTGAAGCAAAAAAAAAACCACAGCAGCAGCCAGGATGATAAAACTTCTCAGCCATGCAGAAAACTGCTGAACTCCACACTCAGTTTTCAAGGTCTCTTCACAGCTCTGCCCAGAAAGGAGCTCCAGGCCATGATGCCCCCCAAAAACCGAACTATAACTACAGAAAGAGGGTTTATGGTACAAGAGGATGCTCAGATGAAAAATGAGCCAGGACTGAAACCATCTGAAAGCCCCCAACTTCCTTTGGAAACCCCTGAGCAACACCCCCCATGCTGGAGATTTGCCCTTTTGGTCTCCCCAAACCCAAATGCTAAACCACACCATAGTCACAAGCCTAGGCAGATATGGGCTGCCAGAAAGAATGCAAGCAGTAGCCTGCACAAAACAATGCCAGGACTAAAAGCTTTTGACAGCCCTTGACTTTTCTTTAGAAGCCTCTTCTCAGCTCCACTTAATACATCAGAGCTTTTGGTCTTGCTTGACTCCAGGCCAAAACGCTAAGCCTGTTCCTCTCCATAAGCCAAGGGCTAGGAAGAGTCCATGCAAACAAGAAGCAGCTCTTCAACTGACCCACATCAAAAGTTCAGTGCACTGCAATCTTCCAGAGGCCCTCTCCATCTTTTGCAGCCCCAGCACATCACCTTACATATTTCCCATCTTTCTAAGCCCTAAACTTAATATTCACCCTAGAAATAACTATAACTCCAGACTATGCCCAGCTCAAACATTAGCCACCACCTACCGATCACAAGAAAAAGGGGCCAGGACTGAAAGCTTTCAGCATCCTCCACCTTCCCTTGGCAGCCCCCTTGCAATCCCACTCCTTCTGGCACTCTGTGTTTTCCCTCTCTCCTAACCCCAATTCTCCTTAGCTCTTGTTACACTACAGATATTGTTTTTTTCTCTTTTCTGAGTCTAACAGTGGGCTAAAGCTGAGTACTGAAAGAAAAGCCTTCTGTGAACCAGGCAACTGAAAAGTAACAGTTGAGAGAAAAAGAGATTATTCTTCATTTTGTTGATATAAAACCTGTATTGCTGCTATCAAAATGAGAGGTGGGACACTCTGGAAACACACAGGAAAAGCAAAGTTATAGGCCTTAAACTTCCTAGAGCTGCTTGATCTTCTTTCCTTGCTTTTTTTTCCTTCTCATTCTCCTTGGAAACTGAAGACTCTAGCCAATGAAAGGTTTTACAAAATTCCTGGCAAGTGAAGTAAGTTGTTTCACTGCAAATGAAAAAAAGTCTGGAAAAATCAATATATTTTGTACTGGAATTAATAAAAAGCTTTCTTTTAAAATCCTTCTATAGTTCTACTTATAACATTTTTAATTTCTGATAATTAAAAGATGACATACTTATGCAACATGCAACTGTAGGTTTTTTTCTCAATCTTTTTGACTCAGTGGTAATTTTTATTCTCAAGAATCATGCCCCTCAATCTCCTGTGAATATCAAAACAGTAAATACTTTTACATGACAGTAATACAAACTTATACCTACCCTCACAATGATCTTTTCAGAGACATTTGCAGATAGTAAGTAGAACTGGTCCTGAGAGACAGCATACAGTCCAACCACCAGCATGAAGTATCTAATTTAAAATTGATTTAATCAAGACAATAATTGAAGTAATTCTTTCTCACAGAAAAGAAGTTTTAAATACAGCTGTTATTATTGATACTAAAAAGACAATGTTTTTAAGTGTATTTCTTACAATATAAAAGAAATAGTATTTCCTTCACTCTTAAGAAATATGCTTTTACAAGCTCCACAATCACTGCAAACTAGCAAAGAATACAATAATTTTTAGAAATTCAAGTAATGAAGCTTGAAAGATGAAAGGCTTTCCTGCCTCTGAAGAAAATGGTCATTATTTGGGATTTTTTCCTTCCTGATTTTGTCAGCCATTATTCTGGCTATGATTTCTTGAAACTATCTCTAACCATGAGGATGAAGTTTGGGGTGTTTTATTCTCATATCCTTCTGTGACTGCAGAGAAAGAGGCTTTCAAGAGCATATGAAGTATTACAGAATTTGGAAAAAACCACAGATTTGATAGCAGCAATTTTTCACAAACATTGTCTCCATTCTAAAGCAGACCTTCACTTTTCTACTTCTAACACACAGGCCAACTAGCTATGGCAATACCTCTGGTCAGGATTAGGTTTCCCCTTTTTTCTCATATTATTTGCTGTTGTTTCACTGAAATGCAGCCGTCCCAGTGTTACTTTAGTTGTCTGGTCCCCTGGCAGATCAACTCTAAAACAGAAAAGAAAACAAGATCAGGGAAGTTAATATTTGGAGATCAGAAGAATAAACATTGATTCTGCCAGTGAGTTAAAAGCTCAAGAATGGCAGAGCTCCAGAGAGATGCTGCATGCATGTTTCTAGCAGCGGCACTCCCCCTTAAAAAGCACTGTAAATGTATCTCATGCTCATATAGGGCAGGAACATTCTGACATTTTTTAAGATTGGAAATGCATCTGTCATACAGCTCTAAGCAGTGTAAAAGAGTGTTTTAGCTGAATATAAATATTTTGGATAGCCATACTTAACATGTGTAAACCTGTTGAAAATTTCTCTTAATGAAGTGTGACCAGGTGTGTGTGTATATATATATATATATACACACACATACACATATATATATATTAATATATATATCTATCATATATATAGTAATATATATTATATACGTTGTATATTATATATAATATTTTTATATATTTTCCTATAATATTTTATTTATATATATATATATATGTATTAGTACTGTGATTCTCTGTGTGCAACCACAATGAAATCTGGATAAAAATCAGAAAACTGGCTTAGAGCTACTGTAAGATTTCAATAAACATCTACTTTATATTTCAAACCAATCATACATATTGAAACAAAATGGAATAATTTTTCTCAAAAATCTTACTTTACAGGATGAAAAGTTTTTTTGCTTCGATCTGATTGAGACTGTTCAATAGCAATTGTTTCATTTGGAGCTTCCACCTATAAAATAAAAATAATTTTCAAAAATGACAAGAATATAAAATTTTTAAACACACAAAAATTGAAATAGACATTAATAGGTAAATTGTGCCTAAAACAGTGAAAATGCACTCATTTCTAATGGAATGACATGGAAATCAATGGAGGAACTGACTGCTGGATCAATTGATAATTGGCATCTAATCTGAAGGCCCAAGTCTTTCTGGAGATGTCATTTAAAAGGGAAAAAAAAAAAATAAAAAAGGACAGTAAGTGCATTAATTTACAAAAGCAAGAATGCTTTCTGAATCCAGACTGTTATTAGCTCATTCCATGCTCAAGCATGAGTGCAGATATTCAATGTGAGAACAGAACCTACGTAAGGTAGTTATATGCTCTTGGTCAAAAAATTTACTAAGAAAATAGTTCAATTATTTACCTCATTACATGGATAATTAAAAGTAATAATCTCAAAGAGGAGACACACTTGCCTTAATTCCATAAGCTTTCAAGTAAACCTTTTCTATTGGTTTCCTCCCCTGCTGAGTTTTGACATATTTTGGATGTCCAGTGATTCTAATATGAACTGTGATTTGGAAATGATTCTTCTTTTGGCACACAAAGGCATCATCTGCTGTTGAAAAATTAAATCCTTTATCTGTGACAATGTGATATCCTACAGCAGGTCTACAAAAACAAGGAGAAGGAATGGTAACCTTAAGTACTGACATACTTAAATGATATCTTGAGCTCCTTTTTTTTTTAAATGTGTTGCAAAAATCCACCTGATTTTCAGTGACAAACCTGGACTAAAAATACATCATTACAATCACCAGTTCTACAGTACTTTCTTCTTTGACTGTCAAAGGTGTAAAAATGAAAACACACATAAAATGTCCTCTAATTCTAGTCTGAAAACAAAATGTTTGGAAACCAGAGGTTGAGAGGCTTGCATAATCCTCGCTTACAAATCTGATATAAAGGAACTCTGTGCACCTAAGGGCACAAACCAACCTTTTAGTGTATTCAATCGTTCATTACAACAGTGCTACAAACCACAGTCTGCAGCCAGTGCTCCAGACAACAATGAGCTAATGAGCCAGCAAGACTCCCCACTTTGTTCACAAACTCCCACAGCAAGTGCTTCTGCAGAAGCAGTGGGATTCCAGGAAGGCTTTACTTAAGCTAAAAGAAAAGCTATCAATACCATCCCTCCAGCCTGACTTTAAGTTCTCCATCCCACTCTGAGCAAACTCTAAAGTAACTCTATTTTATTTCTTCAAAGGACAATTTGTCACCAAAGAGAAAGAGTATTGTGTGTCTATGATTCACAGGAAACAAGGAAAGGTATCAGAAGGTCTTTCTGCTAGAGACAGTGAACTCACCATCCCAGCAATGTTTCCAGTCCTCTGATTTAAGGATGGATAATTCTGAAATAACTACATGGCAAGGTTCTCTTATATAGACATTGGCTTTTCTTGTTAATGAAAGTTTGATAATGGTAATCTTGTACGATGCTACTAAGAACCTCTCATTAACACAATTACTGAAGATGGCTTTCCATTACTCTTCCATTATTATTTGAAAAAATCAAAATGTACAGACTTCATAGGAAATATACAGGCCTTATTATTGTTTTATAAATTATGAAGTCCCCTTTCAAACAACCTGGGACAGGAAATAAAGAGAAAACTACCTACTTCAAAATGACTAAGTCATGTGTTGCTTCATATTTAAAATTATAATGAAGATCCTACCATCTCCTCAAACCATCATTATTAAATAAGTAAAACTTAATCAGTTTTTTCCTACAATGAGTATATTTATATATATATATATATAGGAAATTAGTATACTTCATAGTAGGGAAAGGAGTAGTTTTTAATATTTAGGTGTCAGCAAGGTCATTAGCTGGTATTGTTAAAGCAATTTCAGACTATTTTCCTACACACAGGCAAGCAGCTTGAGAAGCAAAGTTACAAACGTCCACATCTCCAAGCAGCAGGGTTTGGAACAATGGCTCCCAAAGAGCAATTTCATATTATAACTTTCTGAGTATGTAATTTATAGTAAATAAGAGCAAACATATATTTTGTTCTTAGTCCACAAAGAATGGTGAGTCATACCAAGCGGTACAGCAAAATTTGCAATAACTTTTAGGTTGCAATAGATATCCCTGTTACACAAGCATCCCTACTAGAAATATGCTTCAAATTCCTCTTGCGATTCAGAATTTGGACAGAGCACCACCAATATCAGACAAAGACCAAGAATGTGCCAAGCAGACACAATGAAGGGCAGAATAAATACTACAGTAACCTTTTCTAATGAATCTACCTCAACTAACAGCATTTTTGCTGTGAAAATGAAACAACTAAGACGTTCAAGTACTGTATGAATAAAATTGAAAATAACAATTAACCTGAGAAATACCCCTCAAATGGGTGCAGCAATTTGAAGGCATGGGATCAATCCATGCAATGGATTGCAATGAGAAGCATGTGAGTGTTTTGAGGCCAACAGAATACAGGATCCCTACTCAGAAAATCTGTGCAATGTGCTGTATTTACAGTGCATCTTGGAACAACAGCACAGCCACTGACCTCACTTAAAAGTAATACTGACTTCCTCTGCAAATAACACCTCAGTCTCCTCCCACAGTAATGGCAACACAGAGTGTATTGGGATACTTTATTGCTAATCATCACATAATCTTTGTTCACAAAGTAATGTGTCTGGAACCTTAATTTTAGGTGTATGGGAAGCAACAAGTAAGTGGGTAGTGGCAGGAGAGCAATCTCCCACCATCAGCACACAGCTCTCATGTAGTCATTGACTGAAATTGCTGCCAGGATTTGGGAGCCTTCTTTTAGAGTGAATAGTCCTATCACAAATTCAGCTAGAGGTTTCTGGGTCCAGCCAGCTCCCAAGGAGTGTAAAGGTCTGCTCTCTTGTCATGTCAATCAATATCTGAGGAGAAGGATTGTGTGGGGCACAGCAAGATGTGCAATGCCCTTATCTCCTGTGTGCAAACAGGGAACATCAATGTCCAGCAATGACACTGATAGACACCCAGATCCCATGAGACATTTTGACAGGTTGGGTGAGAGGAGCATTAAAATTTACTGTGCTATGCAAGTCCCGTGCAGACAGTGACAAACTTTTTGCACCAATCCTGAACAACTAACCAGATGCTGTAGAAAAGGGTTCATTTGTTAAAAGGGTTCATATGCTAAATATTAGAATGATTCAATTAAAATCAGGGACATAGCGTGAATTTGGAATGATCTTTTCCAGATCATGTGCCAAAAAAAAAAAAAAAAAAAAAAGTATTTACAGTTTGATTAACACAGCAAAAATCTAAATCTTTGACTGAACAGCTGCATGTCACCCACATATCTATAATTATTAAGACTTGAGTTATATGAGCCCAGAAGTAATACTGGTAACTTCTAATGTTTTCCTTTAATATTTCAGACCACTAGAGGAAAAAGTGTTGCATGCTTCATAATTACTTGCCCCAATGCATTTGACAAAATAAACAAAATTTACCAGGTATCTTAACTCACTTTTCTTTTGCTCCTAAATCCCTGAAGGGAAATCAGAAAACCTGGCATTAATTTCAAACAGTGTTTCAAGTTCAATTTATCTGATACACCTGCAAGTTAATATTTCATCATGCCTGTTATACTTCCTTCTCTGTTCTTATTTCCAATAAGAACACGTGATGCCAAATGTATCATTTATTCCTACAAAACTACAACAGATAAAAAAGAGAAAAAAAAAAAAAAACCAAAACAGAAGAAACCATTGTTTTTTCAAGTGCAAACATCAGTGCTTACAATTTTTCATAATTAGAGTCAAATAAGCTGTTCCACTGAGAAGTTTGATATGGTTGCCATGTAAGAGCATGACAGCATTTTTCCAAAGCTGCATTCTGTCCATCACTGTCATATTCTTGCACTTCAGCAGCACAGTCCTTTACAATTGCTGTAGAGAGATAGTGACAATTCAGTTACTTCTTTTGGGACTAGCAAAAAATCCTGCATAGACACTTTTACAAATATATTTACATAAATGCACATACATATAAATCATAAATGTATTGCATATATATTTAAATGTGATTAACCTTTGCAGTTATTCCACAAGATTGTGTTACATTCTCTTGCTCTAGAAAATAAATTTTTCAGCTTTCCTGATTTGCAAAACAAATGTTTGATTGACATGACAAGTAGTACTTTCTATTTTTTATTCTCTCTCAAAAGGATGAATAGTTTCCTTCGGGGGAGGGGGGGAAGAGAAGGAAAGCTAAGAATTCTACTGTACATCTGCAACATTGCAAGAAGCAATTAAGCAAAATAATTGCATTTGTTTCCCATTCCCTCTACCAGAAGTTTGAATTGAAGAATATACTACAGGAGGCACAGTTTTCCAATAGCAAACCCATTCACCACTACATCTGGTCAATCTCCTTCTGCTTTCTGCCTATACATTAGAGAATTCTTTGACAGACAGGGTCAACCTCAATTCTCTGAGATATTATACATTTTATGAAGACAGAGGAGAATGTGATAAGAGAGACAGATAAATAGAGTGCCGTAAGGATAAGAGAAAATCTGTCATTGAGCATATAACTAAGATCCACAGCCAGCGACAGCACAGTAAAACAGCCTTCAGAGTCACTTCAGGCCCAAGCTTCATTTGCAAGCGCCCACATCTGACATACAGCAGAGGATGGATGGATGGATGGATGGATGGATGGATGGATGGATGGATAGATAGATAGATAGATAGATAGATAGATAGATAGATAGAAAAACGCCACAGTAAAGAAATTCACACATCACTTCTAAATTATCCCCGTGCCATTTTCACCCATGTCTGTTCTTTTTCCAATGCATGTGTCAGTGAGATGTTATTAAGAATGACACCTAAAAGAAAGCTTGTTTCAAAGCTATATCTTTCAGTATTAAAAACAGCAAGAGCAATTTCAGATATAGAAGTGTCTGCTTGTCTTCTCTTTTCAGCAGTGGTTGACTTAGAGGACTAGTCACAACCAAGAAACACTGAATTAACAAAAGATATCAAAGAAAAAGCAACTTACTAAATCCAGTTGATATTCATTAAACATGTTATAAAAGATTGATTTAATCCTGACAAATAACTTCCTCTGAAGAAATAACAAGCCACTCAGCTTTTTCACAAACAGACATGGGTAAAATTCCTCAGGTAAACCAGCCATTACAAACTGTTCATTCAGAGAGAGCCCCACACTTCACAGAAGCTGATTCATTTCTGTACGTGCCTAATAAGGTTTTTTGTATCAATTGGTATGAGTTGTTTTGTATTTTTATCTTGATAAAACAATGAACCAAAGCAATATGGGGAAGGTGGGAAAGAACATACAGCTTTTACCAAGCTTGCTTATGCATACACTTTGTAGAAAATGAAACATGGAGTGGAGGAGATAATGGGAAGTGGTAATCCCTTTATTCATCCACCCAACTAATTCCATATTCAGCTGACCCAAAATTGTTTCTTTGCCCAGTCAAGTTAGTGCCAAGCAAAGTAAGCAAAATATATTACCATTTCTGTAGTGGAGGTTCACATATGGAAAAGGGCAGAATATTCTATCCAGAACAGCCTCAGGAAATAGGAACCTCTAATGCTCTTTTCTCTTTGCCAAATAGAAATAAATCCTGTTTTTTCAAAAAGGTAAACTGGGTAGTGGAGTACAGACCACTAATGCCATTACCTTGTCTGAGCCAGGAGGAGCTGTGCTCCTCTAGTATTTACTTGTCTGTGGCATAAAACACTAAATTTCCTCCTCACACACACGCTCACCTTGTCTGGAATCCTGAGACTGGACTGGAGAATCAATCCCATCTCCTAGTAATTGGGACAGCTTCCTTTTTTTGCTTGATGCTGCAGAAATACTTTTGTAAAAATACATGTTGCATTACTCCTTTATAAGTTTAAACATAGATATTACAGAATCATAGCAAAAGAACACCCAGGTGTCTCTTGTCTCATTTTAACTGCACTGCCATCCAAATTCTGATTTGCTGAGGGAGGAGACTCAGCACTGAGTTGGTGGGTTTTTAAAACTGAATTATCTGATTTTTTCCTTCCAAAACTTCTTTTTTTTTTTTTATTTCACATGAATAAAGAAGTTGATTCCATTTAAAAATTTCTACAGTGCATAATTGGCACGGGTTTAGTTACCTGACATTTGCCTTAAAAATCACAGCTTTTATCTTGAATAATTTTACTATTTACCAGTTAATGTTAAAATACCAGAACATTTTAAATAATTGAGCATCCAGAACACATTGGTGGGTTAATATGGCAGATAGTATACAATTACTGCTTCACTTGCTTACATAGATATGACAATTCCTTTTCTCTTATGGTATTTGCTAGAACACTTACAAGATCCTCATGCACAAATCTCTAAAACAGGTATTGCAAAACACCTCAATATTTTTATAATCCAGTTATGAAAAACCTGTTGATTTCTCATTAGCCTTCTATTGTTTTAAAAATTTAAATGCGCTACTACTTGCAATCTAAACCTCGATTAAGGTATTTTAAAGAACGCTCAACCACAAGTGTCTCAAAAATGTCTAAACACTGCCATCCTGTGGAAAATCCTACACCCACAGGGATTTACAACCAGTCTTAAACCAGTTCTACTGGCTTTGCATGTCTCACCCTTTGCATAAAAGCTTTATCATTTACCCGGACATCTGAGATGCATTAGGCTGGAAGTATGAATAATTAAAACCAAAACAGCTGGAGGATGTCGAATGATTCCATGGAGTCACAGCATTTTCTGTCTTCAGGCAGCAGCCCTGGGAGGTGGTGCAAGGGTACCCCATGGCACTGGGGTCAGGGTAAGTCTCCATGAACCTGCAGGGAAGCTTGCTCGGTGCCCCAACTGATGGGCACGGGAGCGGAGGCTGCAGCCCACCGGGCCACACAGCACCACACCATGGGGCTGAGAGAAATAAAAAAAGAACATAAGAACAAGGAAGAGGAGCTGGAGATACTCCTACAGGCTTGGGAGAGGCCAAATTCATGTCACCTACTTTGTAGCTGTGGTGGGGAACACGGTTCTGAGCCAGAGTCTGGTGGGGAGTCTGGCAACTGGCTTTGCCTGGGGATGAAAAAGAGATTTTAATTTCTTCTGGAACAAGACACAGAGGACAACAACAACGAATGCTGAAAGCAACTGGAGGGAGATCACCAGGCCACTGACAAGGGTCTTCAGGAAGCATTGCTCACCGTATTTGCTGCCCCTTCTCACAGGAGCAATGTCCCCTACACTTCATCAGACCACCCCCTGCCTCTCTGCCATGAAGAAGACCCAATCCCCATCCTTTCTCACCGAAATCCCCCTTCACAACCTGCTCACTTCAATCCTCCTTCCCATGAGTGGTTCTTCAGTTATCTCCAGGCACACCAGTGACTCTCGACATATGGTGCTCACAAGGGACTTAAGCCCCATTCTCTCTAAACTAATGGTTAAAGATCTGTGGCATCTTCATCTCTCTTAAGGAAGAGAAAATCCTATGCCATTTTGCTGCCATTCAAAGGAGCTACAGAGGCTTCCTCTGTTACATTAGGAATAGATGGAGGTTCAAGAAATGGATTCTCAATCCTTTCCTATGAATTGTCAGCTCAAACACTGCTCTGAAGCCTGATCTGAAACACAAGTCTTAAGGTGCATATTAGGCTAAAAATGCTGCAGCAGAGGAAGGATGACAGAAATCTAATGAGACACACCTCCTGTACCAAAGCTGAGTGTTCTCTCAGAAGCTGAATAAAATAAAATTCCTTAAAGAGACATCCTCATATGTATAAAAGGCATGTTCACACACACAGAGCAAATACTTTCAAGCATCAATGGAAATTTTTCACTCTATTGTTTCCCTGGCAGGTTTTATATTTCTGAGTTTGGATAGCATTAAAGAGAGCAGTTTCATTTTTGGTTACTGCCTTTTACTTTTGACATGTGCTTGTGTATTTCTTAATGGTATTGCTACTGGTCTTCTAACATGTTACATCCACAACCCTGCATTTTGGGTTAGCTTCAACCACACAGCTCCTCTTTAAAAATCAATTTTAAAATCCCACATTAGAATATTCTTTAATTTAATTCAAAATAGATTCTCTGATGCTTTTAAATACCATGACTATAACACTCTAAACGTTGTTTTCAACTTTGAATACTTAGTAAATATTTCATTTTCATTTTTTTTCCTGTGAGATATTTGATCCATATATTTGATTCATATATACTGAATGCCAATTGTACTTTGTAAAATTTTAAAAGATACATCTATAAAAGTCTAAAACTTCCCTTCTGCACATTCAGTTCATATTCTCACTTCAAATATTGCCTTGGTACTTGGTTTCTGCTTTAATGTAATTATTTCACTAAAATAGAAAGACAGACACTTTCTAGGAGAAAGTATTTATGAAGTAAAGAGGTAGTAGGGATATATCTCCAAGTTAGAATTTCACTGAAACTGATACTGTGCTTTTTGAAGGAAAAGAAAATAATCTGTAGTTTAAATGATTCTACATTACAAACAGCATATCAATAACATGCCTACTCAGCAAAGGACATGGCAACTTTTTTCTCCTTTCACTGATAATGTGGAAGGTATTACTGTGGGAAAGGATGAGGAAATCACATGGTGCTTCACATGTAATGCAAGAGAAGAATAAATGTAATGCTGATGACCATTCTGATGCAAGATCATCTTTAATGGAAATTTCAAGGTACACGCAAGACCTTGGTGGTAATAGCACCCTGTTCATTGCACATGATATTATGGAGTTCTGCATTTTGCATGTGTATTTGGAGGCTTTTAATATTTTTTTCCTTTGAAGTATTTTGACATGTTCCTTTATGAGATTCTATTCTGTTTACGCACAAATTTTCTGCACTACAGACAAATGCTTAATAATTTGACCTGTACAGATCTAATGATTCAGTAAATGTTCTTAATGCCATAAATAACAAAACAGAACTCTAATATTACTGTAAAATCCTGCTCAGCCTCCAAAACTTAATAGTTTTGGTTTTCTTGCATGTAAGTACTTTGTAGCACTATAACATATAACTTACTTAAGCTACATAATAGCATATATATACACGTTTACATTTTGGTGATACTTTATGTATAAAAGCAAAATAATATTTTTAAGTTGTCCTACAGGAGTTCAATAATCTCATTAACCTACAACACGGTTAGTCACTCTAAAAATAAAGTCTATGGATATTTACATACAACCTTCTCTTCATTCTTCTTTACTTTAATAGTGTGGGCAAAGAGAATTAATTCATTATTCATGACTTAGAGCAGTTAGGAGCCTATTTGGCCCACCTTAAATAAACATGTGCTGCTGGATCTATCTAGAATGAAAACTTCCATGCTTAATTATTTTTAAAACATCCCTTCTTGCTCTGCTTCTTGGCAAGTGTGAGTATCACGCTATTAATAATATTTTGCCTTGAACAACAATCATCTGACAGTTGTCTAGATGAAAGATTTGGTGTTTAAGTCTTTGACAGGTCTGTACCACATAATTTTCCACCCCTGACCATAAGCCTTTGCACTATGTATCCTTTGATAGTTTTAAAGTTAGTCTCAAAAGACACTGATGGACAGTTTCTGTTCTAACTAAGTATTAGGGTGAAAACAGTAGCTCTGCTTCCTTCAAACTGGGGGACTTCTGTTATTCTCTCAATGTATTATACAGTAGTCTCATTTTTATCACTTTTTCTGTACATAAACAGTAAATTAGCACTTACAGGAACGTTAAAGTAACAGCTCTGCATTTAATGTCACAATTAGCTCGACAGTTGTGAATCAACTCAGACATTATTATCACTCATTCCATTGAATAAGAAAACTACCATATTTCCATTACTGGCTATAGTTAATTTTGTCTAAGTCCTCCTATGCAGCTTCAAGAAACAATGCCAAGAGAGCCACAATCCTCTTGAAACTCAGATTTTATCATGGCATAGATAAATTGTTTTTATCTACTAATAAAACAATTCAAGAGCTGCAGCTAAGGAGAGGAAGTAAATGTTGCTATAATACTTACAAAGTTCCAAACTCTATGTCACTACTAATGAATTCTTCCAACAGGCTTGTATCCACCATGGGATTTTCCAAGGCTCCATGTACATCTTGCCCTAAGGTTAAAAGTAAAAAATACAGAAATTCACAGGGAATTGTCAGTGTTTCAGAATAAGTGATGCTGCCAATTTTCCTACACAAAGGAAAACCAAATCTGCCCTGTCTCATGTGTAACAAAAGGGTTATGCTTCTGGTTTAGTCACTCTGGGAAAAAGGATGATGAGAAATGCAGAGTAATTAACAATGTGCAGGGGCACTGCAGATGACAGTGCAGCACTGGGCAAACACCACTGAATGCATTAAGGCTTTGGGGAATTACTACAGCAGGAAGATAAAGGACCACAGTCTGCAACTGAGAAAAAGGGTTTTGACGATAGTTTCCAACTCCTTTACATTGAGGTCTTAACAGTTTTTTGGGTTGAAGATCAGATATTGTCTTACACAGATCCACTTGGTGCATTAGTACTTGCAAGTACTGCAATGAATTTCTGATCTAAAACTCCATTTAAAAATCCACCATCTGAGTTTAAATAAAGTCCAAATAAAGCCTTAAAAATATTTGGTGGTTTCCTTTTATTCTGCCTAAAAAAACAGCCCACTAACATGTTAAATGTATTGGCGAATAGAAAAGTTCAGTACTTTGCCCTGTGTTGCTTAGTAACTGAAGGTTATAAACAGGTTTTATGATTATGAAGTTTCCGGAATTCATGACAACTTTTGTAGAAAGTCAACGGGCACTCATTGAAAAACCCAGCCAAGTAGTCTTACTCTGCAGGCTCCCCACCTCTGCAGCAAGCCTTCCATAAACACAGGTGTGGCCAGTCAGAATGCAAACAAGATAAGGACCTCGACATTCCTGCTTGAGCTGCAAGTGCTTCTGTCCCACTTCACACACGATAAAAGGGACCAGCCCACACAGCCGGAGATGTGAGGCTCAGCCCCAGAGTCTGACGCCAGCCATGTCCCCCCCAGCTCAGCAGCAGTGGGTGAGAACACAAAAGGTTAATCTCCGCCTCTGAGTCAAGGAGTAGTCACTGCTTTTGGCGCACTTGCTGTCTTCTCACTCTACTACCTTGCACAGGACACTTACCCTAATGTATCTTCAGCTCCTTCTCTGATGTCTTTGTCTGATACTGTTCCTTCTTGATCCAGTGTTCAGAAAGGACATTCATGCAAGCAGAACCTAAAAGTCCACTACCTTGCACAGGATTCCCTCAATACATAAATCCACATTGCTAATAAACATTTCCCAAATTGCTTTGTGGTCATAGATTAATCTAGGTATTGTTTACTTGTTGGTGCTGTAGGCTTAATTTTGACTGCCGTTCACGGGGGAATAGCAACTTGGAGGTGTTCTACTGATAGATCCTCACATCTCAATTTATTGACATTGTAAACAAAACTGTCCCATGCACACCAGAGAACAGATTCAATAGGTGCAGCCCACCAGCTTATCTCAGCAAAACTGGAACACACAAATTCTCAAAGCAGCAGCAGATCGCTTTGCAAAACCAGTTAGAGAGTGCAAAAGAGCCTGGGTTTCCTTAGCAGCCTTCCTGAAACCTGTTTGATTCTCATCCTTTCATTCTTCATGTCTGAAGGTAAGGTCCCCCTACCTTGAATTAGAAACCTTTCTCCTTTTTACTAATGTAGTCCACAGGAAAATTATTCTCTTCTCTACTTCTTCTTTTACCCCACCTGTTCTTCCTGTTCAAGCCACCAAACCCACATGAAGAATTATATACTTTCATTAATAACTTGAGGCCAGAGGTCAAATATAAAATGTTTTCCTGTACCATACAACCAAGAATCCATTATTTTGACCAAGATCAGAGACAGGCTCTTTGGAATCAAATACAGCTCTAAATCAAACATGGACAAGGCCTTTCAAGTGGACATCCCAGAGTTCAGAGATTAGCTCTGTTGCTAAGTGACAAAACCAGAAATGTCTATCATTTCTGTTTAATCTCTCCACTTTGCATGAACAGCTAAATGGTGAGAAGGAGAATGAAAGAATAAGCAGTGCTGGGAGAGGAAGGAAGTACACCAGGAAGACAGGCCACCGCTAATGAATGTTTGTGACGCAGGTGCACGGAAGAGTGGGCACATTTTGCTGCCCTGCAGATCTCTGTTAATGTACTTTCCAGGTCAGTGCCGTCACGTGCTGGTACTAGCATCTGTTTCAGCAGAGGATGATCTGTTGGATCATACGCAAATTTATTTGAAATGGTGGCATCCATTTCACAGATATTTGATCACAATAAGTACTTAACAGATACGGGCACCAAGCAAGACAGTCCCTCACCTGGATGTTACATGCTTGTGAGAGCAGAGAACTAACTGTGTGTATGTGGCAGGACAAGCCCTGCGGTAAGGCCTCTGTGAAGCACAGAACCATGTGCCTGGCTAAGAGCTGCTGGAGGATATGTGGAGTCAGCAGCCTCAATCATTAGCTTGGCTCTGCTTGCAGTTCACAGTTTATGGTGCAATGTGCCCAGACGTCTCTGGAAGAGTCTACACTGAGTGACACATTCAACTTTGGTGTCACTGTGCAGAGGACTACCAGCTACCCAACCAACAGATGAAGATCAAAGGACAAGCCAGAGCCATGACAGGGGTTCACACACAAATGTTTGCAGAACACACACTGCAGTCACAGGCTGCATATGATTATATATTTTTCTCATTTCTTCTTAAGCGTGATACTTCTGTTTGTCCCCAAGTCTAAAATCTGTCAGTACTACCACTGTCTTCTGTTTCCTGTCCATTCTCACCTAGCCTGTCCCTAATACCCAGCCACAGGCCCCCAAGGAGAACTGAACTCCAGTCTATTAATTTGGCAGTTACTCTTTGGCAGACATCCCCTTCTTTCCTCTAGGCATGAGGCTGTCATCACCTGGCTCCTCAGCTTGACTCTATGGTCCTGTGACCAAGTCTCAATCCCTAAAAAACCTACCTTGATCAATTCTCTGAACACTTTCATGTAGCCTTACGTATAACTGCATTTAATTCAGCTGCCTCTTTTTCAGTGGTATCTAAATGGCAAGTGAACGATGGGGGACAGAGAAATAGTATTGACTAAAAATCAATACTAAACTAGTAATTTGCTGATATTAGAAGAGGATGCCAGGAAGCTCCCAGCCAAGTCCAGTTTTCTGTAGTAAGATCAGTGTTAAAACATCAGCTACTTTACAGAGGAAACATTCCTTATATACAGCTCAAGGTTTAAAAACAGCACAGAGAACATGGTCAGTGTTCAGTAATACTTTCTTGCTGAACAGACAAATTCACGTTTACTACAAAGCCTTGCAACTTGAGGGATAATGTTTCTGCTTGAGAAGTAATAACTGATTTCCACCTAAAGACAATTTACCATGAAAATAAGTATGTTTTTTTACAAAAAGAGGCTTCAGCACTTTATGAGCTCCACTATACAGGCTCAATGGTCCAGCTGAACCTCACTGACTTGCACTAAGATAAGAATTACTTATGGGGCTTATACTTATAGGCCCTTCTTTCATGGTAATGGACTCCAAGACTGGTTGCCATTTGAATTGTGTAGAAAAGTTCAGCTCATTCCAATTTGGACAGACCTGCAGGAACAGATCTGCTGTCATTGACACAAGCTGCAGAGTACAGGGTTATAAGTACAAACCAGCTGCAGCCAGCCAGAAGGTATCTCAACCTAGGTTATTCAACTTCAGGAAGACCTGTTACTACAAATTGTAAGGAGCCAATCTGTGTTAAGATAGGCTTTTTCCCCGCAAAGTAACATTTTCTACAGAAACAATCTTATCATCAATATTTTGTATTTTCCATTTCATCTTTTATTCCCGTTTCAAACTCTCATCCTTAAAATGCTGTGTGGCACCTCTGAGGTTTAAGTGTTTTGTATTTTAAGGGCACGTCCCCTCAGTGGCTTCATTACTTCCCACAAACTCTAATCTATGTTCCATGTTACCCATGCAGAAGTATGATTATACAGAGAGGTGATGATTCCACTAAGGAAGAGATTTCTTTAGATCACAGACAAAACACATTTCAGACATCTCAAAGTACCTTACAACAGAAAAGACCAAGTTCAACAGTGCAACTAGGATGACCTTCTACCTAATCTCTCTCATTGATAACATCAGCAAGAACAGATTGTTCTGCCACACACAGGTGGAAGAGCTAATCGGGAGCTCTGACCTTACCTTGACAAATAGGAACTTACAGACTCTAAAATGCAGAATGTTTTAATTATAAATACTCATTTCAACACAAATAATAGGGAAAAAATCTGCATCAAAGATGAAATCTCTAATGTGCAAGTGAAATGAAACAGAAAAAAAATGGAACTTCCCGGCAACACTAGAAAAAGCCATTTACTTGAAGGAGAAAAAGCCATGGTCAAATCCCAGAGTCATATCTAATCTAAAAGGTCTGTCAACTATTCAAAGAACTGATTGCCAGGAATACACACATTATATCAGTTTCCTTGAGAAAATAATCCTGTTTCAGATTGTCCCCTCTCAATACTGCAGATACCATTTCGTCTTACCAGTGAGCGTCAAAACAAATATGGACTGTAAGGAGCTAAAGCACAAGGCAGAGGGGACTCTTTTTGTTCAGGAATATCAAATAATTTTACCAAGCAGATCTATAGATTCATTAACTGCCAGCTGATGCATTTGTAAGCCAAAACTGAACCACTGAGGAACCACTCAGTAGCACCATTCTCCACGTGATATCACAAGATCCAGTTTTTCATAGCCTTGAAAAACAATGTTTTAAGCAATGTCATTGCTATGACTAATCACAGAGACCACCAAATAAACACTAGCAATTTACAACTCTTGCTTCATGAGGTTTTGCCTCATTGAAGTGTTACAAAGCCAGCCCACAAGCTCTAGTGCTATGCTGCAGAGATGCCACTACTTAAAACTGGCTCTGTGTTCAGTAAATACAACCTCAGCTTGAAAAGAGGGCTAACCACCTTTTTACTTCAGCTTGTTCCCTTTGCAGACTTACCTATGGTTTATAAAAGCAAGAGAGCCTACTCCATGCTGAATGAATGATTGGCCCTTGCAGCCTTGACACATATCCCTGTCCAGATAATGAAATTCAGCCATCAAACAGCATCACTGCATGCTGTATGGCCTGAGCAGACCTTTGTCACATTCTAACGGAACACAGCTGAACAACACATTATGGAAGGGACATGACATCCCAAGATGTTTCATTTGTCCTGTGATTAAAAGGAATCAACAGGGCTTCTTTATCCTCACACTGGCATACACTACCTTCTAAAAGACCTTCTAAAAAGACCTTCTAAAAAGAGTTGCAGTAATAATTATATAATTAAAAATAGCAATCCTCATTAAAGTGTTCACACAGCTAAAATCCCTGCCACACCTTCTACCATCAAAGTATCACTGTCACAAAGTCAACAGAATCTAACCTATACTCCCCTAGAAAGTCATGTTTTCCAAGAGGATTCCTAAAAAATGTGCTTTTTTGTAATATTTGTATTCAACACTATTTTGATATTTATCAGCTGTGCAATGTAGCTGTGGGGAGAAAAAAAAAAAAAAAAAAAAAAAAAAAAATTAAAAAAAAAAAAAAAAGCCTGATAAAACCAAGCATTATGTTGCTGAAAGCAAAGCCAAAAAATTTGTTAGCCTTTCAACTCCATGACATAAAATGAACTTAAAGCAACATGGTATGAATTTCCTACCATCTATAAACAATACATTTGCTTTAGCAGCCCTATATTGTAGCTCACCAATTTAAATTTCTTGGCTTAAATGTATTTCCTTGATCAATTTTTTAATGTCTTAGCTTGAAATTAAAATTTAAAATTTACAGTTGCCACATCTCACCCAGGCCAACAGAGGGGCAGGGAAAAGAGTAACACAGAAAGCAAATCACAAGAGTGATTTTCCCAAGTAGGTAACTTAGTTGTTTCCCAAGTTACTTTGAGATCAGTGAATACCTGCTTTTGAAAACAAGTACAACAAAAGCAGCTTAGAACAGAACAGCTTACATATTAAAAACAAAAAGCAAAGTGCAAACTGGAGGAAGGGAGAGAAAAAAATAGAAAAAGAATACAAAAGTAAAAAGCCTTTGAACACATTACCAGAAAGTCTAAAAATGCAATTTTATTATAGAATCTATTAGGAAGTAAATTGTGTAGTAAGAGAAAATTATGAAACTAATTGGACCAGCTTGAATAGAAAATGTCTTGGAGAAAAAGGCAGGACAGATGACCCCAGCTAAAAGACAAAAACATCCAAGTTTAACTCCTCAGAAGGATCCTGAGGATACTGACACAATTAACGTTTCACCAGTTACAATCAGGCCATTTCAGGATCTCTAACCACATGAAAATCACTAAGCTTTCAGAAGTGTTATACTGCAATGAGTCCTCAGTCACTTCCCAGTTTTTCTTCAAGGCAATTACCTTGCTCATACTGCAGGCTTTGCTGGGTGCGCCTTCCCTTTGGTATTCTGGCCAGAGCACAAAGAAAAAGGCACTGCAGCACATCTGTACTATTTGTAATCATCCTGGTACTGATTTCCACAATAACTTAGTGTAAACACAGCTTTGAGCTTCAGAGCATTTTTTCTTCCTCCTTTCTTCCTCAGTTACTCCCAAACAATTACTGGTTTTGCTGACACTAAAAATTGTTAAGGCTTCTCCTGAAACTAGTCTTACCTTCAAAGAACTGCTGCAAGGCCTCATTTTCTCCCACCACATCCATGAAAAGCCAGCAGAAGTGTTTTGCTTTCCTACTACTTGAAGAGCTCCCACTGGGACAAATGCAGTCTCCTCCAGATGATTATGAACACGCCAAGGAATACATCATGATTTTGTCAGAGATTTCAATGACTTTGTCCCAGCTGATTTTATTCCTCTGTAACTAGTGTCAGGATTATACTTAGGCTTTATGTAAAGGACTTCACCTACACATAAAGGAGAATCTAACAAGGCTTTGGAGGCAAGAGATGTGGGTTCTAACCAGTCAATAAGTCTAATGTTCTCGTTTTAAGGACCTTTGGTCCCAGTACTAATTACACATGCGCAAAAAATGCATCAATAAAAATTACTTATCTTGTCTTTGTACTTTCACACAGGTCATGTAATTAGTACTACCAATGAAAGCAATAGTAATCAAAAATGCAAGAGCAAAGCCATCACCGATAGGGAAGTAGAACTTCTATGTTGTTACTATTGTTAACACAACTAAATCACACATTAGCCTGTTTGTCTAAAGTAACATTGGAAAACATATGGGAAAGCAGAACATGGAACAAAGCTCTTTTAAGGGTAGCAGCAAACTCTACTACACTTTCTCTTAGTTCATCTTTAAACACTGAAAACTGCCCATTCTGTCACCACTAAGCAAACAGGAGAGAAATATCAAGTGTTTGAGTAGACATCACAAAAAGGCATTTGGTTATGAACAAAAGTTCCAATGAAGTCTGACATTAAGACATTTTTGGAAATAATTATATTCACTAGACAAGTAGTTGTTGTCCAATTTTTACAAGCCCCAGGCACTCACAGTGACATGGGTTTCTCACAATAAACACCTCACATGAAAAATACAGAAAAGAATTTTGGATTAGGGACATGAAGACAGAAGCCAGCATTTACAAGATGCTGATGCAATTGAGTCAGTCATTACTACTGAGATGAACTACATGGGGTAGACCTTTGCACAAAAAAATCACCTCAGCATAATAAATTTCAGATACTACCATGTATAGAAAGGACCCTTTGCTCTGCTTAAATGAGTGACAGGGTTTTGTTTTAAAGGATACTAAATCAGAACAGCACCAGCTACTGGCTAACATTTGCCTACTGTTAGCTAATCATGGAAACAGTTCTATCTCATTATCTAAACTAAGGATTAACAAGCATTTAGGAAGCATTTATGAGCCCAACATAAAAGACTAATATCAATAAACACAGCTTGTTTTCCAAGACCGAGTAAAGCCAGACTTCCTTAGCATTATTGAATGGATAAACAATCCTTTAACAATTGCTGGTAGAACTATTCCAGGTTTCTACAACAGCAAGTAGTATCCAGTGAAGGGAGTATTTCCTCAGTACTAAATTGCCCAGGTTGGACCTACATACTCCATACTAATAATAACTAGGTTCAGTTGTTTGTTTTACCTTAGCATGGAAATGTCTGGTCAGAGCCAACACTCGCCAAGTGTTTTCACATATACACAAGCAACACAAGCATGGTATTAAATTTCACTGCCCATGCTATCGACTCTTATGAAAACGGAGAACACTGCAGCAAGACAATGACAAATAGTGTTGGTTTTGTTCAACATCAAAGAGATCCACTAAGATGCTTCTTGTTAGAAAAAAAAAACTGTATAAGCTCACCTTCTAGTCAGTTTACCTGTCAAAGTTTTAATCTTGTGCGCAACTGATAAATAGTTGTCAGGACTGAGATCCAATGTTTTTCCAAAAAGGCAAGTCTAGTTCATACCCACAACCACGTTCCTTGTAACATCAACTGTCTGCTTTCAGCTCAGACAATGCCCAGGAAAAAAAATGACCACTTGAACTTCAAGTGCCAAAGAAACACTCCCAACAGAAAAAGCATCTCTTAAGAGGCCAGGATCCTTTTTGGGGGTTCTCTGACACCATTTTTTTCATACACACATATTGTAACATTATATGGAAATTATGATCAGCATGATAAAGAAATCACATAATGGAAATTTCTGAGTTTCAAGAACAACTATGAGGGAACTTATGTATAAGACATTAAAAACTGGAAATCCCAGAAGACTGGGGGGAAAAAACTAATTTAAAGGAATGAAAAAATTCTAGTGAAAGAAAATTAGAGGGAAAGAGAAACTTTTCAGCAGTCATATATGGATAAAAATAGATTTCTAACCAAAAATCAAACAAAATAATTTTATTGTTTCTTCATATTTGAGAAGCACCCTTCCTTAAAGAGAAGATACTCAAGTTTATTGTGCTGTGACTCTTCACTATATGTGTTTCTTTTCCTGTGTAAGTATTTTTTAAAATTACAAGTATAGAAAAGCAGCACTTCAAACAATTCCACGTTCTCCCAGCTGTCTGTTAACTGTACTGGCATACACGCACAGAGAGCTACATAAGTGTACCTAAACACTACAATGAAGAAAATAACAGGCATTTATTTGCTCTTCATAAAATCAGTTTTATATTTTGGAGTGTCCTACTGGGGAGGTTCACATTCTGCATCACAAAGAACAGAAGACAGAGACTGTTTCAGATTAACACTTTAATCAGAAGTTTTGTTTTTAAATGTAAATTACAATCACTAATACACCTGCAAGTGCTTACCACATTTGTTCAACTAAGTATTATATGTACGCATATACAGCATAGGTCAGTTTAAAACAATCACAGTACTTCTTAGTGCCATCTGCAAATGGAGAAAGATCTTGGACCCACTTTGTGAAAATAAATATCAAGTGACAAAAAGAGGTTCAGCAATTTTAGTTATGTATATTCAATTAAGTTCATGCACGCGCAAGAGTAAAAAGTTTTAGAGCTCTTCCTTGTAATAGCCAAGTTTTGCTAGTGACATCTCTCGTCTCAGCTGCATAACTTCCCAGAACATCTGATCCACTAAAAAAGACAGAAATATCATTACATATACCAAATTCACATTTTATTTCAAGTGATGTATTCAGGCTGCCTTACTCTACATGAGCTATGGGGAACTTCATAACAAACATCTGGTAAAACCAGCATTAGTATGTGTAAGGGTTAATTGTACTCGGTCATGACAAAATTTGTTCAAGCACATATTCTAAACATTGTAAATGAGAGTCCTATTAAAAAAATCCTCAGATTTTAGATATCTTTAAAATGGATAACAGAACTACATCAGTATTTTTCACAGCTTCAATTAATTGTAGTTTCTTATTTAAGCTTTCCCGCCCCTTTGCTCATTTTCTGTGAAACTAAATGACCACAAAAAAAAAGGTAGAGCTCATTGGATAAGAATTGTGTTGCCAAAGAATCTGCAATTTTGCCTTTTATAATCCTTCTTGCTCCCTTTTTTCCTACAGTAATCTACTAGCAACAATAAATTGGGTATGAAAGATCCTTTTTTCTTATTTCATCTGTATCTTTCTGAATGTGATAAGCCTAATGCATAGCTTAAGCTTCTAGATGTTACAGCAATACAAATCAAAATTATGGAGCATATAATTATTCAAGACAAAATTTCCATGCAGTCAAGATCCTGATATAGAATGTGTACAAATATCATTAACCTGAACAACAACCATGAGGTCTTCCCTACCATAGCTCAAAGACACTTTTGTATAAGCGACCTCTGTCTTAAAAATTAAATGGTGCATTAGTGGAAATGCATGTAGCACATTATACAGATAATTAGGATGAGTGCCTACATTCTTCTCAATGTATTGTTGAAATCCTTACATAAAGCTAGAAATGTAAATTCTATGTTCTAGTGGTAAAGATGACTGAACTGAAACACCCAACTTTTTTTTAAAAAAAACTTCTCGCGAAGAATAAATCAATCTGATGTTGAAAATATTTCATTATATGATGTAAAAAAAAAAAACCATTAAGTTTTTTTCTCTCAATAGCAAAGTAAACAATTTTTAGTTGAAACTTCATAGGTCCTTTTGGTCAAAGTAAAAGCCTTTTGACTGCAAACTATATTAAAACTTAAATAACATATTTTCAAGATCTTCAGCAATGCTAGTAAATCAGTAAAAATTTCCATCATCTGAAGGTTTTATTAAACATAATTAAGTATAGGAAATAGCTAAATTTCTAGTGAATTTCATGACCCTTTAACATTGAAAATTAACAGCATTATTTTTTGTAATTAAGTGTATCTATCACCTCAGGAGTACTTCAGGTTAGAAATATTTGGGTGTAGCTAAAATCCTGAGCTCTTGAAATTTGGAAACATCAGGAAGAGATGACTATAGGTGAGGTAGCAAAGCAGGGCTAATTCTAGCCAAATTCTTGATGAAGCAAATCCACAGAGACTTGAAAACTGGAATAATGAAATGCACAGACATCCATAAATATTACAATGTTAACTGGTTTACTTTACTTTCTATTTTACTTTCAAAAATGCAACTGAACTTAAAAAAAATTTACATTTTCACAGTGAAAGCAAATATTTTAATTTCTTATTGACATGGGGCTAATGACACTCTTTCCACTCTCTGTGCTCAGTGTTTCTGGAAGCCTGGGTGATATGACCTGTTTCAAAAAATGTGGACTGAAAGCTGTTTGGCAATATTCTTTGACCCGGACAGGAAATACAATTAAATCAACTGTGTGCAGTTTAAACACAGTCAAATAATATTTTTGTTTTATAGTGATAAACAGGTATAATGGTCTTGAAAATGAAGACAAAGCTATGCCTCGAGCACGCAATATTCTTTTAAATCCCAGAATCAAGTAACTACGTGTACCGTGAATATGTTTTCACAAACATCTTCTTTTATATGGACATATTAGAACCACAGAGACCAGCTAAGCAAATGTCTGAATTACTGTGCAGAAACAGTTTAAATAGGCAGTTGTTGGATATGATATTCTGACACAACCAAAGGTACTGGGTAAGAAAAGTAGGGAACCCCCCAAGGCACAGCCTGAAGCAAAAACCACGTTTCTCTTTTGGGGTGGAGCGTAATCAAGCCTTACATTTATAACCAGAGCCCTAAACAAGATTTGGCCGTGCCACTGCAATGATCTCATTTCTCAGCTGCACTCAGATGAATGATTACAGGTTTTCTGTATATATAGAAGGTTACCTGTTTACATTTTGCAATGTAACCCAAAAAATTGTCTTTCTTGCCAGTTCCCCCTGAAAAAAAAGTCTGACAAGAACAGCTGTCTCAACTACCACTGCACATAACCAGAAGACATACCAAAACACCAAGGTAAAGAAAAAATGGCCCAGATCAAACTTAACTGAAGTTTTCTGCATCCAAAATACCTCCACATTCTGTGACAGAAATTTTATTTTTGACCACTGTGTAGAAAAACTGTGAATAACTCCCCTAGTTAGATTTTGTTTTACCATTTCTTACTGTATAAGGGGTTTTTAATGGACTGAAAATCAATGCATTATAATTAATGGTTTTAAAAAGTAACTTTATTGGAGAGAGACATATCAACATATTCTCAAAATTACAACAATGTCTAACTAATAACCTGTAATGTGAGATCACAGATAGCAACTTTGTTGCACAGAGAGCAACTGTTAGGAACAGGCATTATGTAAATGTCTCTTTATGTAGGTCAAATACAATTTTTTTATACTCACCATCTTGCTGCTTCAACAGTCCTTGCTGGATGTATCGAATATATGTAAAGAAGTTACACACAGAAGTGATCTAAACTCATAAAAATAATGGTGGTTAATGTAATTTTGTATAGAGGTATGGAAAAAATAGTTAGATTACTACACAAAACTAAATAATAGTAAATCTACTTACCCTGTAACGACAGAAAGGAGAAATGTAGTAATAACTGCTTGAATCTCCTAATTTGATTCTATGCTTGCATGACTTACTTTGTCCACTGAGAGCACATTTCCTACAAATATAAAGGTCACATGATTCAATAAACCAATCTGACATTAATGTCTAAACATGCACATGGTGTTTATGGTGTTAATGTAACTGCTTCATATTGGCACATATGAAGCAGTTACATTACTCTACTTCATTTTACAAGCTGCAATTATTACATTATGCTGTCAATTATTTTAGTTCCACAAGGCCTAATTTCATTTCAATATGATGCTTTTTTTGAATTCTAAAACTTTCTGCAGCTCTGGGAATGCACTTCCATATTCACTAATTTAAATTGGCTTGACAACTCTGGCACAGTGGGATTTCTTTAATTAACTCTCAATATGTCAAATAAACATTTTTAAAATTATCAGTTGATGCCAAAATTTGAACAGATTTTTTTAAAGTTACGCTTGATATTGTATTTCATCCTAAAAATAAATCAGCCTCACAGAAGAGCAGTCAATTCTCTGAGAGGCATTTTAAATCCAGTTTTGCATTTTTGCCCAAATTGAAATAATATTTTACATTCAGAGTATAAAATCTTCTGAGACAAAGGAAAATGGGCTGTCTGGCAGTAATTCTTTCTGTTACCATTACAAAAAGTGAGAGTAAAATAATCAAATTTACTTCTGGTGTATTGCAAATATGCAGTATTCAGGAAAAGTCATTAGTCACCACAAACTGTTCCCAAAAAAAAAACAAGTTAGGAAACCAATGAATTTTTAAAGATGAGAAGAATTTGATTAATTTGGAATGTCTGTATTACAGCATCTCAGATGAATTGGGTTGTCATGGCAACCACTGTTTCATTAATTTTAAAAGCTGCTGGCTCTTCTTTCTCCCATTTCTACCTCATGAAATTAGGGAATCTAAGAACAAGCTGCCTTTCAAAAGTGAAACAAAAATTACTGAGCTTCTGTGGTTGTGAACAGCGGCTCATTGGCCCTTTTAAATTGCCTGCAGCTGGTCCACAGAACCATGTAAGACAGGAGAAAATGGAAGTGGGTACACGATTTTCCATAGCAATTTATGAGGATTGACAGCAGTTCATTGATACAAGAAATCCTAAAGCAGCTGAAGCAAGCTGGATCACAATTTCAGTCTAGCTTTTGTCAGAAGACAAACTTTCAATGCTAGGAAAATAAAACCCTTTTTTTCTTCTGGTTACATAATTGCCTTCTCTGTGTTGTCTTCCATCACAGCAGTTAAAGCGGAGGGCTCCTGCTGGTGACTCAGTTCCGTGCTGTACAGTGCACACAGCTCAGCGCTTTGCTCCCCTTGGGGACAATTATGTGAATCTTCTGGGGAAACCCAGCTGTCTTTTGTTGAGGCAGCACTCCCTACACACCACCACAATTACCATTCAGTAACTTCTGTATCTTCAGAACCTCTCTGTACTACTATCACAGCTTTCTGTCCTCCACCCCTCACTAGGCTATTTGGGCTGTTACCCACTATTTTATGCATCTTTTTACCCCCACATGAACGTACAACAAAATGCCAATGTACAACAAATTGACTTCTTTTAAAAAATTACTCTAGCTTTTGTTATTGTTTATTTTCAGTTTGTCTATATTAAGTTACCCATTTAAGAAGACAGTTTCAATTTAAAAAACATTTTGCATCGTATAAAAATAAAAACATGAAACTGCTACGCTGATTCAGTGAAAACTGCAACACCTGTTTCCCATTCAGTGCCAGTAATAATATATAAGGCAAAGCACAACTGCTGCCAAATTACACTTAAATACTGCAGATTCCTTACCTATTACTTATCTACAAGCAGCAGCACAGAAGTCTTTGTCAGTACAGAAGAGTTGGAAAAGGGAGAAAAGATTTGCCTGACCTTTTGGTATATAGGTAAAATAACTAAATTACAACTTGTGCATTGTCATCTCAAAACACGAATCTCTATCTTGCCAAATATTTAAGGATTTTCTACGTTCTGATTTAAAAGTTATCCTGTACTGGATAAAACAAGTTAAAAGTCTCCAGAAATTTCTGAATGATGCAGTTGAGTCTCCTGAGTTAAGTATTTAAGTACATCAAGATGTAGCAAAGTTGCTTGAACCACAATGACTTCAAATTCATTTGTCAGTTGTTTTTTGATGACACATGATTGTTTCAGTGGTTTCTGAAACAGATTATCTACTGCTTTCAGGGAACACAGATTACAGTGGCAGATCTTGGACAGGAATTCCCTGCTCCTTGAGTAGCTCCATTATTGGTGTGGGCCCTTCTGATGAGAGGCTGCTACAGCTCAAAGAGCGTGTTCAAGTGACAGGAGGAAGCTGAAAAAAATTTGAATGCTTGAACTTTGCAGGCTAGAAAGAATCAAAGACTAAGTCATAAAACATAAAAATTTTCATTTTATACAGCTTCTTTAAAGAGAAAATAAAGCATTTTCAGATGCATCAGCTGTAGTTTCTCTTCCACTCAGGGAAAAAACAAATAAAAAGCAACAGCAGTAAGAAAGAAAAAAAACTTAGAGTTAGATGAAAACATTTTTGTGAAAGTTTTCTATTGTCAAATTGAACTCTGTCAAATCAAATATTAGAAAGTAAATTGTCAAGTTGTCCAAAATACTTCCAACAGAAAGCTCAAGTCTTTCTCAAGATTTGGAAGGCTTCAGATTAATATCCAGACTGACCTTGCTTTCTTACTCCAATATCCACTAAGGCATCCTACAATCCCTTTCCTTCTCCACATAATCAAAGCCTCAGTGCCTCAGGCAAGTCCCTCCTACCCAACTTTAATGTTTGTATCAGCACCTGACAACAAGTCTTGCTTCACAATTCTCTAGGATGATTCCAGAACTTTTAAAACCATCTTCCTATCATTCAAGCATAATTCCCACTTCAGGCTCCAACTCTCATTCATCTTCATTCCCACTTACATTCCTCCTGCTCAAATTCAGAGGATTAACTCTCTCTATATTTCTCAAATATTTCAGCTACCTTTGTCAGTGTCCTATGTATGTCCTGAATTTTTTATTCCACAAGTACTCCAGATGTCATAACTCCAGCCTGTACTATTTCAATACCTATTTCTTTCATGATGCTTTCTAGCTGAGAGCCCCCAGTTCAAAACCATTTGGTTTAAGTGTCAGAATGCTCTTCTTCAAAGTGGTGAATGTTACTTTCAGGGTCAATGCATCAAAACAAGCAAAAGTCAAGTTCTCCCCAAATGATAAGGTTTGTTCTATATTAGGGGTTTTTTTTAAGTTTCATTTATTAGTTGCTTACTTTCCCACAAAATTTGTAACAACAATTTTGAAGTCCTAGATTTTAAGGAAATTAAATTTAAGATATACAAATTTGATTGAGGTAATCAGTTGATAGAGGTTTTCTCAAGCCAAGAGAACTCAAATGAGTCAAGAGTATCCCCCTGTGTCAGCTCAACATACTTTGGTCCCCCACATTCAACTGCAGAAGCTTTCACAAATCGAACAGGTTGCAAGCCAACAGGTTCAATGCTCAGAGTGTTGTTTTCAACAGCTTCCAGAACAGCTGAAGCCAACTGCAAGAGAAATTTAGAAAGCAGTTAAAAACAGCTCTGCTTCATCCAGTGCATAAAAGCAGTGGCATATTTCTTCTTCTGGAAAGTTAAGAACACGGCAGGGGGGGCGGGGGGTTAAATCAACCCTCCAAACAAAAATTATACTACAAATAAGATTTCACTTTTATCAAGAGCAAGAGGTCCCATTTCCAGGCTCCTGTTTTAATTCTGCCCTACAAATAACCCTGCCTTCCCTGAGGCAATCTAACTTCCTTTACAGCCAGGAATGTAGTGAAGCATGTTTAAAACACTAACTGTATTTTCAGCCTTTCCTCGTATACCCAAATAGCACACATATTTATATATGCTATGCTCTTGTCAGAGACTGAATATTGCACAAACTTTATTTTTAAAAAAATTGGTCTGATTTTGTGTTCTGTGAAAAATACAAAATTATGTTCCATACATCTTTATCTTAAATAAAACAAGTAAATGTTATGTCACTGTTCTCAGCTAAAGATAGCTCTAGCAAGGTGCTCAAACAAATGAGACTGAACAACATGTAGAAAAGCCAGTTGCAACTTTCAAACACTAGCCTACTTAAAGTGTAACTTTGCTCAGGTTTTATATGTTCACTCCTTATAAACAATCATAAGACACTGGAAATGTGACCATTTTGCTTGAGTGGACTGAACATTTGTCCAAGACCACTGTTTCAAGTAATAACCATTACTTGATTTAAAAAAAGGTGCAACTTACATTACTAATGAAATCATTTTGTGCCAAAGTTCTTTCCTACTAAGTAACAACAATATTTTTACTATTGTACTTTAATTATTTTAAAACCAGAATGTTACTATTAAGGTAGTCCATATGAAATTCTCTCGCTGCCAAAAGCAGAACACTACACATACACACAAGAAGCTACTGAGAGTTAATGTAATACTTCAACGATTCACATAACTGCACTTTCAATTATTCAAAAACACAATACATGTGTAATTTATTGTTTGGTTTAACTGCACACTAGCATCAATAGTCAAGTAAAACAGAAGTTGGTCACTACACACAGCATTTGGAAACCATAAATGGTGCAACTGACAAGTGCTAGAAGCCTCCTTCTTCCCTTAAAAGGCAATACAAATCTACAGTAATTATACTACCAATGAAGAACAAATTCCAAAATTAAGTTGCTGCAAAAGACAACAGGATGGCCTACTTACATATACCGCAGAAGCAATTTAATTCCCATAGTAACCAAGTAAATTTTTTAGTGGGAGAGGTTCATGTGATGCTCACCAACCATAACAAACTGGTATACAAATGACTAAAACACTGCGTGTGCTTATGGCCAGCAAGTAACAGCAGATGAAAAGCATGGGAAAAGAACACATCACCTCCTGAAAACAACACATGAACATTATGAAGAAACTGTTGGTTTCTATGCGAAGTGTTTCATTTTATTGGGAAAGAATACCAATACATAGGACTTTAAAATTTCTTGTTCTGATTTTAATGAAGATCTAAGAATATGCTCCCTTTTCCCTACTGACCAACACTACAAGTACAGCCTATAAATGGTGCATAAGAACAAAAACTAAGTAAAGCAGTTGGATCTGCAATCAGTTCCATGTTATTCCCAGGATAGGTGAAACTCCAGTCTTTCCTTTGTATGGGAGAATGTGCAGGAATAAAACAAGGAAAAAAGTCTCCTAATTTGATTCCTCTAAAACCATATTTACCAACTGCCCTTGTTGAATCTTAAATCCCAAAGTCTAATTCTTGTAACTCAAACCTTTCTTCAAGTAAAGACCCAGACTACACTTGCAGTCTGCTTTGACTCATTAGAGAGAAAATCAGCTCACAAAATTAAATATATTGGTCTCTACTGCCCCCTATATAAACAAGACACAGAATTCTATTTTTACACTGTGTTTGAAGTATCAGGAAGAAAACTTCCATCCATTCCAACAAAGATCAGATTCTAACAGACAGGAATAACATTTGAAGAAGCAGACATAAAAGGGCCATATCTGGAAGAGCATAAATGGAATAGAACAGTGAAGAAAAAAATGGTCATTTCAATACTCTAGACCAAACTTTAGAACTTCACTGTAAATTGTCAAACACTAATAAAACAAAAATGGTTAAACTTCATATTGAAAACAATACAGTAGCCTTTTGGCTCCATGTAACATATTTAAGGGGAAGATATCAGTGAGCACATTTAGATCATTTCCATTACCTCACTTTTGGAGAAAGTTAAACATGGAAAAATATCTTCCCGATAAATTTTGTCCAAGAAAGGACATGTTCTGTCCAGAGTAGGTTCATCCTTCCAAGACCTGAAGTCATTGTACAGAGACAGGTCAGCCTAGAACACACAAAAATTCACATATTTTAGTAATGGAATTATCACACTAGTGTCCATCATTTGCAAATATCCACAAGAAAATAATAAGCATTAAAATGCTTTCTATTGCAATGTAAAAATTGAAAGAATGTAATGTGTATAAATTGAAAGATTGCTATCATGGTTCAACTACAAATACCTTCTTAAATCCACTTTTCTAAGCCTGTAAATTCAAGCAAATCAAAACATACAATTTTCAATACACAGAGATAATACATCTACTGGTTACCAGTACACACTACCACTACCAGCTAATGACCTTTCCCCCATTTCCTAAGTATTTGTTCACCTCCATTTACGTAAGTTAAGAAAAGCAGAGAAATTCAAAGAAAACAATTGCAATCCTAGACATCTCACATGGTCATGCTGCATCTGACTCCAGTATGCTGCTATCCAAACACTAAAAGAAAACAGACTAACACATTGAATATCCTAAGAAAAGAAAACACAAAGTCCATGTACAACTCAGTTAAAAGTATACTGTTATTCTTCACTTTTCCTCTTTATGCTAAAACTCTCCCTACAACAGAAAGACAACTATGGTCGCTGGGAATGATTTATGAGCCTGCTCCCCCAAAAGCTCCTCTAGGCAAAGAGGAAATGCTAAAACTACCTACTAAATCATGCTCAGAAGAACTATGTTCTGTGTTAGGAAAAGATAATTGTACCTGCTTTGAAAACACCTTGTTTTGTCATCTCCAGGCTGAGATCAGTTAGCAGCAGGACAGCACCTACCCAGTGTGGCGGTCCAGAGATGGGTACTAGGTTATCATTAAAAATCTATCTGCATTATGGGGCAGTCTGTCCCACAGGCTTGCTACCCACTAACAGCTAGAGCACACTGAGGTGCTCTCAGAGGTGCTCTCAGAGCACATCATCTGCTTTAGGGTTACTTGAGATAAGACCTTTCATCGGCTCCAAGCAGAGTGGGGGTGAGTGCTTCTGACACGTGCTCCCAATCCAACATATAAAACTAACTCCAGTCCCAAAGGGACAGGCAGCACCATCCCCAGACTGTTTTTGACATTCAGCTTCAACACCTTCAGTCTGCTGAATAACAGCAGGCCTATACTCCTAAAACTAAGGATGTACACTGCAGGAGAAAGGTAAGCCAGGATGCGGATTTAAAATTTTTTACAATTAAAGAAAAAACAGGTAAGATAATGAAATGGGGAAATAGCGTATACTAAAAGTTGATTTTTAATCTCATTTAAAAGTATGCTGCTTTGAACCAACCTCAGTCTCTTTTTCATTCCCCATGCATCACCCTTCTGAGTTCTCAGCACTTTGCCATTATTTTACATATATGCTTGGGGAGTTCTTTTCATCATTTTGAGGGGGTTTTGGTTAAACTTTTTTCTTTTTCTTTTTTTTCCTTGAAAAATAACTTACGAAAATTAAGACTGGAAATTTTGTTTTTCATTAGAGCCACTTGCATTATGCTCAGGAACAACTATCTTAATTAAGCCAATCCATAAGTGTTCTGGTTGCTAAGCTACCAACTTCATTGTAGAAGTGCAATTCAATAGGTGTAACTTGCTTCCTAAAGGAACATTTCCCATAACTTAAACCCATCTCAGGTCTGGCTTTAAAATTAATACAATCAAGAGATATCAGCTAAAAAACATCAATTTTTTATTTGTACTCTAGAATTCTAGAAATTAAGATGCATTCCTTATTAACTTGGTTATTTTCTATATTTACTCCATTTTACCTAAACCAACAGTTTATAAAGAAGATGCCCTGAGAAAAATTGTTCAGTGACCATAGCTTGATGATCTTCATTTTCAATCTACAATGTATGATACGTGTGTATCTCCTCCCTGCCTTTACATATGCTTTCAGTAGATCCCATTTTTGATTACCTGAAATTAAATATACAGTCAAATGTAATAACAATTTCAGTTAATTTTTTTATGTTTTCATTACACTAAATATGACATCAGCAAAATATCTCAGCTCTTTGAACAACACTGATGCATTTATCAACATTTCTGGTGAGGCAATGATACTGGTCTGCTTGAGATCTGGGCAGCCTATTTCAGTCTTTTTAATATCAAAATTCATTAGACATGTCTATTTATCCTAGAGGTTACTACCACATACTGGGAAATATTTCTCTGGGATGTTGGCAGCTTTCTAGCTCCAATGCAATTTAGGGTGGACAGCCAAACACTCGTGACTCTGCCTGTATTCCACAAAGAAATCTGAGAGCTGACCATATTTACACCCAGCTCCATCCCAAAACACAAAGCTCTAGGTGGTAGACTCTGCAAAAGGCTCCAAATCTATTGGCTCAGGGCCAATACACAGCCCTGAGCAAGAGTACTTTTGAGCCCCTTTAGAAGTCAAGTCACTCAAAATCAGAAGACTAAGATCCAAAAAGTAACAACTCAAGAACTAGCAAGAAGGGGACAGAATTAAGTGTTTCAGACCCTGAGACTCTGAGAAATGCAAAAAAATTTACCTTACAGCAGCTACAAATAAAGCCAGTAAACAAAATGACAAAGCATTAGATAACAGGAACAGCTTGGAAGGCATGTATCCTCTGCTTAAAACTACGTCCTAGCTCACATGCCAAAGGTATTCTTGCTTTTTTCACCCCATTCTACATTCCATTAAATACTCCTGCTCAGAAGAGAAATAAAAATACTCAAGTCCCAGTGGGTGGAAAACTCATGTGTTTCTTAGTGATTCCTTGGGCCATCACTGCAAGAAAAAATCACCAGTTTGAGCCGCCTTAGGCAGACTTAAGTGTCTCCTTATGCAGCCAACAAAAAGGTGAATTAACTAAAGGAAAGTGTCAGGCAGACTGGTTCTCCTGCAGCATGTCCTCTACAATCACCACATTCTCTCCATGAGAAACTGAGGCATAACAGATTTCTCTGGTCTCTCACTCTTGCCCAACACTTAAAAATTTCATTGAGTCATGACCTTGGTGTGATGTTACAAAGTAACTGGATTCCATTCAAATTCTCCCCTTCTCTGAAGGGCAACAAGTATTCAGTTTTAGCAGGGAAAAATCCTGGATACCACTGAAAGTGGGAAGTAGGTTGTAAATAATCTGATTTTTTTTTTTTTTTTGAGTATGAAACATCAACTGGAAGATGCCTTTATTTTCTAGGTTTATAGTAAAATAGTGTCCAGTACAAATGCAATTAATCATGACTGGTAAAATGAAGTATGAACATCCAGTCAGCATATTACCCCTCTGACAACAGCCAGCAGCAGCAGAGCTGGCTGAAGAGACATCTGAGGGAAAGGATAGTGATGCGTATTCTTTCACAGCCTCAAAATTTCTAGCAGCCTGTAACTAAAGAAGCTTTCTAAGCCAAACGACATATCTATCTTCTATAGATCTTGAGAGGCTTTTTTTTTGTCACTTTCTGCAACTTTATTTTGAATGCATTTTTAATCTTGCTTCCTCGTGAAAATGTTTCATTATGTAATGACTATAAATTATTTTCCTTTTAGCTTCCAGAGTTTTCATTAATTCATTAATAATTGTTCATCATTCTTCTTCCTCATGTCACCTGAGATTGCAGAGATTTTTCTTCTGCCTCAAGTATCTCTACACAGAAATCTTTCCATTAGGTTTGACCATCTGTGTTACACTTCCTGCTATTTTCAGTGTCCTTTCTGGGATGAATATATCATAGCTGCATGTACAGAAACACTCTCACTACATGTTTATAGAGCAGTACAATACTACTTCTTTTGTTATTTATTCCTTTCCTAAGAACTCCTAAGTCTCTGTAGGTCTTTGACCATCATTGAACACCAAGATGGAGTTTTCAGACAATGATCAACAAGAACACTATGGTTTTTTCCAGTACAATGCAGCTCTTTCCAAGTTCATAACTGCAAACTTGCTATTGACATTTTTTTTTCCTAAATGCCTCATTTCTCATTTACTGATTTTTGCATTTCATCTGCTGTTTTACTAACCACTAAGTAAAATAAGCTCCTTCTCAACACTTTGGTCAATGTTTGCTTCTACCATTCCAAGGACTCAAGTACCAACCCCTCGCCCCATTATTTCCCCATTTTCAGTGACATGAGTAGATTTTAAAAACAAGTAAACAAACCAACCAAAAAAATCAACCAAACAAAAAAAGCCCAACCCATACCAAAAAAAAAAAAACCCACATAGGCCTCAGGATTCCAGTAACTCAGCACCTGTTCTCTAATAAATTATTGATTTCATCTTTTCCCTGCCCTCCTTCAGCCACTACTAATCTATAAAATGACTCTTCCTCTTGTCTATGACAGTTGATACAATGCTTATGAAAGTTTATGAACTTTCAGTGATGGACTTCATAAAAAGGCCACCAGGACCTATCATTTAGTTATACTGTTTGGTTTGTTGTTTAGGGTTTTTTAATCATCACATGCAATTTCATTATTTGAAATCTTATCTCATCTTCCCTTAATGATTTAAAGGTAAACAAGACTTGGAAAAACCACCACCTATTGGTATGTAAGGAAAGTTCTTTCATTAATGAAAAATATCTCTAAGCTAGTAAGCATTAAATGAAGATTTAAGATATACTCTCTTTGTTGTGAGTAAAACAAAACATAAAGCCAGTTTATCAGCAAAAAGAGAACAATCCTTGTACCTTACCTCTTTACAGTCTTTTACAATTGGCTGCATCATGGTAAGGTCCTGATGACTGCCACCCATAGCACTGCTTGTACTCTTGTTTCTTGCATGGCCTTTCTTAAAAGGAGTTCTTCCACCAGACTGGAATTCCTTAGTTGGAGATGTTGGTGAAGTAGACAGTACTAGTGTTTTCAATGCTGCTACTTCAGCCTGGAGGACATCAATCTTCACAGGGCAGGGGGGGATAAAGTCATTAACAAACAAAAAATATATTAGTTTATAAGGACGTTAAATCTATTAAAAATATCTCCAGCTGTCTTGCTGCAAATCAGAACTTCATCTTCCAACAGTACTAACACACAGGTGCCCAGGCAATTGCATATTGTAGCAGCATTGGCTTCCTATGCACCTCGCTGGCTGACATGACACTGAAACACCGTGTCCATGGGTATTTGCTAAGAATATGCCAAGCAATACAAAACAACTGAGTGTATATTCTAAAAATGTATACAGGTAATCCTCTACCTATATCTTTATGATTCACACTTCAGATTTAAAACCATGTGAAAATACAAAGCAAGCAAGTTGGGAAAAAACTCACCTTTCCTTGTGCTTCTTTTAACTGTTTTTCTGCTGCAGCTTGTTTGACATTTGCTTCTTTAACCATTTTGTGTGCTTCCTATAAAAGATGTTTAGCTAGTGTAAATGCTTCACACAAATTTATGAAAAATCCAACAACTAATAACATACTTTTGCTTCATGAAGACTACTTGTGACTATTAAGATGTGCACTAGTCTGAAATGAAATAGCTACGTTAAAAAAAAGATCCCTACAGATCTATGATTTTGATTCATCATTGGCCAACTAAGGTTCTCCTTGGCCCTGAGCCCAAATTCAGAAATTCAGCAACTCCACCTACCCCACTCCAGCAGGAACAATACCTGTCATGAACACCAGGCTCCAGTCACGCTTCGGTGGCTGACAAGTTCCTTGACCCCAAGGGAAAGACCCAAGCGGTAGCAACAAAAGCAACATAGGCACAGTAGCACATTCAAAAGAACTTCCCCTTGTTGTAGCCAGAATAACCAGTTTCAGACAACTGTAAATTTCGGCATGAAGGAACCAGTCAAACAACTATGAAATCTAAATTCTTGCCATCAATAAAACAGATAAAACAACTGCATAAAAACACTTCATTATTTAATAAATATTTTTTAAGTAGAATGGAAAAAGCACTAATAAAACAATCCAAGTAAAGAAACAAGGCTAACCCAATAAAGAAGGAAGCATAAAAGGACTGAGGGTTTTTCCAATGTCCTTTTACCTCATAACTCTACACCTTTTGTCTGTATAATGTATTTGTTTAGGCTCTCATCCAGCAATTTGTGCCTAGTCTCAAATTACTGTTCTCACGTGGTACTTACAGTAGGCAACAAAAATCGAAATATCAGAGCCAACAACCAAATTACTTGGGATAGGATCCTTTTCATATCTGTAAAGCGCCTAGCACATCTGGACACTATATAAATAAAACAAAAAAGTTCATACATTGTCATACCAAAAGATCTGGCTCCCACTAGCATACAACACAGCTGTATAGTATGAGTTTGTAAAATTCTCATAAGTAACAAGACACATGCAAGAATGGGAACATACACATTTATACAATGTGTACAAATACATTTAACATTGACCATGCAGTTCTGCTTAGTGATGCATCTTTGAAAGCAAAGCATGTTACTGTGCTATTACAGAGTAATAATGTAATATATGCACCCAATGGTGCAAAACAAGTCTCAATCCTTCACCGGGATGCAACAACATAAGCCCTAGAATATCCATTTATACGGCTGCTGAAATTAGTGGGATTCAAAATTAAAAATTAATTCAAGGGCTGCACATCCCAGTGCAAAAAATTCAATAAACCTCACCACTGTGTCTTGTTAGAGCTTCTACGTGAAATCAAATCACAAAAGAAAACTTAGGTAACAGTCTGGACAACTCAAACTCAAACTATCATTACTAATAAACTGTATTTCAAACATATTTTTAACAAACTGACACACTGTTCTAAGCAATGAAATGTCATAAATAAAAGATTTCACTGATAATTTTCCTTTTATTCCTCCACAGTTAAAATACCTGCCTGACATTTTCCTCCCTGCAGCACACACAAGTATTTATACTATAAAATACCCTTCCACACTTCTATTTATTTTTTTACACAAAGGAACTGCTTAATATTTTAAGTAACCTTGCTCTACCAGGATGTACTTTGTAATTAGATTTTCAAATGTTTAATAGCACTTTTATACAGCATCATAGGCTTAAACACTGCTTCTAAAACATACCTAATGTTGTATCTTTATGCATATGCTGAAAGCCTATATTTACCATTTAGTAAATGTACAAATCAACCATGGATTATGAAATTTATTCTGACAGTTGAAGATAACACAATTTAGGCCCAAAGCATTCCTATATATATTCCTAAGATAAAATGAGAACTGATCCTACTTCAAGTTCTGGATTTAGCATTTTATTTCTGTGTAATACCATCTCACAATCTTTGCTGGTACTACTGCCTTTTCCTCAAATGCTAAGGTCCCACTGAAAGTTCAGGCTTCTCACTTGGTAAGCAGGTTTCACCTGGTGCATCACTCAGCACTAATGCTTCTTTTGAAGCCTGTGGGTGTAGCTTGCTGCCAGAGCCAAAATTCAGGAGCTGAAAGCATGGTTAAGTTATGTACATGCTACCTCCATTCATCTGGAACTACGTTATTTTTTTTGTTTAGTCACCATGGCAACCGCAAATTTAGTTCTTATCTAGATAGCCTTGTTGTCAGACAGAGAAGCTGTCTCCAAATAGTTATGCCAAAAAATAAGCTGATTTATTTCCCTTATTTTCTTCGTTTTGTGTCTGGGCAGATTGACAAGCTCAATACGGTGTCTCGCATCTAAGTTAAAAGTCCGCTGCTTTCTCTTAAGCCTCTAATTCAACACACCCAAGTCTTCAGGACACAAATCCTTTTATGCGCTTATTGCAAAAAAATTCAGCATACAATACACTGGTTCTACATAAAACATCTGGCTCAGCTTCCCTTAAGTATATCACATCGAAGACTCCAACAAACCTCAAACAGACTAGCTGTAAGTTCTTCCAATTCCTGTCCAAGTTGATCTCGCACTTTAGAAAGCCTTTCACATTCTTCATCTTTTAACTTCAGCTCCTATGGAAAATTGAAAGTTATTTATTCTGACTTAGAGTAGTAATTTGGCCTTTTAAAGCTAATACCACAAGAGAGGGGACAACAAAAAAATTAAAGCAAATAATCAGAGGAGCATAAAACCTTTGCTAAACAGAGCCTTTCAAAATACATCATACACTAAAAGCAAGTAAATTAATGCTATGCATGTATAGCTGTTTCTTCCTGCTGTACAGAATTATACCAGGGCAATCTAATGTATACCTAAGCTAAACACCAACACTTCCAAAATACTCTGAAGCAAAAAAACCTTTTTTTTCCCCTGGAAGCATAAAAGGCTGTATTCACATAAAATATAGATCAAATTAATTATTGGGGCAGACAGAACACCAGTTCATCTACCCAATCCTTAAAATATGTTTAAAGTAATCCTTTAAAAAAATTATTAAAAAAATAAAAAAGCACTGGCTCAGAAAAACCTGCAACAAATCTTAAAACATATTTTACTATAAATACTGTCTTCCAAATATCTCTTTACAATGTCTCTAGAATTGTACTTTAATTATATCCTTGCCCTTTATTTATGCAGATTTATAAATAAAATTAAAGCAACTTAATGAAATTCAAAATGTTAGTGTTCACCCCACTAATATTTGAGGGAATATCTGACCATACCCATTCTTAAAGTAAGATTTTAACACAGATTTGGCACTATAATGGTGACATATACCAAATCTTATCCATACTGATGATAAAGTGGGGTACTTTGCAGAGAAGTAGAAAAAGGCTGACAAGAAATTTGAAATAAAGTTCTTCTCCCCTTCTGTATCCATTAAACCCTGGAATCTTACAGAAAGAGAAAGATGTAGAGATAATGTAAAAGAAAGAAAAGTAGCCAATTCTGACCTTTCAAACTCTTTTTGGCCCTAGCTCCCTTCTCATCCCCATCCATCTCCTCTTTTTCCACTTCTCCCTGCCAAGAAAGGCATTACACTGCCATTGTTCCTGAAATGCAAGACCAAAGACTGTCACTAGTAGGTTAAAGATTTCAAATACAATCTAGCAATGATTTGTTCTGAAAACCTCCACAAGCCAGTAAAAAATAGCTGCCTTCAGAAAACTGTGGGAGGCCAGTCACAAGAGAGTCATAAAAAAAGGCCCAAATGGCAGCTTCTTTTGTGTTTTGGAAGGTGGTTAGTATTTCCTCCAAAGTCTTCATGACTGAAGTAATGTTGCATACAACCACGTGGGAAACTGCATTTTGCCTTGTAGCAGGCTGGTATTAGGTCTTGCTCTCAATTTTGGCAGTGAAATTGGCAATAGATTTTTATGTAAGGTGAAGGGTCCTGTTTGACTTCAGGTCCTAAAATGGACAAGAGTTTAGGGACTCCTCCAGAATCATTTAGTATCAAAGGCATTGTTCTATCCCTCTTTTATTTGGCTTTTACTTTGAACATTTTGATTGATTTTAGCCTAGTTTGTTTGTCATTTGGATTTTTTTGCTTCAATATACAACTATTTTGAGAGGTACCACTTAAATGATGGGGATTCTTCCAAATTTTGTATTTCTCAAATTCTATTCAAAACTTACTTGCTAGCTACTACTCTGCACACAGTGACCTCTTTCTCAAAAAAAAGCCCCAAAAAGTTGCAGGAAAACAGCTACAGGTGAGACATGAGAAGGAGAAATTAATACAAAAAAACAAACAAAAAAACCAAAAAAAAAAAAAAAAAAAGGGAAAAGAAAGAGGTTAAAAAAAGGGACTCTATTTAATTAAAGTATTTCCCATATAAAGTATGGTTCTTAATCAGGAAAAGGAAGATTCTGATGCAAAATGCTTAAAGCTCAAAAAAGAGTTGAAACTTTTTCTATATATGCAGAGGAAACATCAACATTTCCTTTGGCTTACTTCCCTGATTTATAAGGACAATGCCACATATGTCTTAAAAGCAGATTGTATCAATATTCAGGTTAAGAGTTGTCAAACTAACAATGCAAGTAAAACAACCCAGGTTCACCTACCACTACTGATACACTGCTTACTTTAAACAGTTACATTTTGCCTGAAACTGGAAAGATTAGGAGAGATTAGATTAAAATTTAGGCAGATGAGTAAAGTTTCCTAACAAAAAGACAACATCAGGCAGTCTACTACGCATGACTGCTTAGCTGGATTTATCCAACTCTACACAAGCTTCCATGACATGATTCAGGAGAAGCATAACATAAGGCATTTTTGTCAAGCAAACTAAAGTTCAGGTTTTTTAGGCAGGGCAGAAATGAAGACTGCCCAAAGCAAAAATCTTAGTAGTTATCAGAAACATTACTACTGCCTGTGACTTAAAGGCATTTCTGGAGACTTCCCAGCCATACCAAATGAAGAAGCAGAAAAGACAACTCTCTCTGCTAGACTAACCATTGATGCTGCAGTCCTTTACACATTACTGTTCTGAAAAAGTAACTACATGAAGATGAGGAACTATTATAAAGCACACTACAAACACACTTACAGAAGGCAAGAAAAAAATTACCTTGCATGGAAAAAAAAACCGTAAAAAAAAAGTCTGTATCAAAGGGTCATATTGTTGTTTATTTCTCTTTGATCTTCTCAGACTACCCAGTGGGTATTTAAAAAGAACCGTGAGATAAGAATTGCAAATTACTGCTTCAAAACCATTCACACTTTACATTCTAGGAAGAAAATCATCCTACATCTAACTCAGCAATTTAACTAACTCAGAACTAGATGCATAATATCAAGGAAAGAATATTTTCTACAGATATCATGTAAATTCTGAACTGTGGGATACTGCTGAACTCTGAAGTTGTTCAAGAAGTGTTTATATTAAAGGCACTATTTGACTGGTCTTCTCTCAGCACACAAGTGTAAACAGCTACACAAAAATCAGTCCTTTGCAACCAGATTCACAAGGGAGTGATCTGATGCGACAGAAGATCCAGAATCTCCTTTCAAACATAGCATAATTTCACAAACTATTGAATTGTTTTATGGTGTGGGTGAAGATGTTTCTATTTTGCTTTCATGTAGTATTCTTTCTACTTGCCTGAAAATATTTCTCTGCCTACAATGCACTGCAATGGCATAAGAGGTGTGGTAACTTTCATCAAAGACAGCCAGGAACTGCTAGAACACCTTCAGAGAACCAATACATCTTTAACCATCACAAGCCTGTGGCCTTACAATTCTACTGGAAATTGATTTTAGAAAAGCTTGAAAGCATACATTTCAGTACAGTTCTAATGCACCCTCATTTTTATTGTTAATTTACAAGAAAACAGCAGAAATTTTAAAATGCTGACTAGTACTGTATAGTACCACTGGAATTCCTGGGTAGTTAATTGTGAAAATGTTTATTATTAATCCATGCAGAGTTTTAAAACATCATGTTTTACTGCAGATCTGAAGACATGAGCTTGTATCACTACGTTTGTTTCTGAGACTAAAAACGTATACAGAAATTGAAGCCTTTGAAAGAAAATTATAAATCTGAGAATCAGGCCCTCAAACTATGTTGAAATTGACAGTACATTCTATACTATCACCTCTTTCACAAGAATTACTGTATTGTGGGAAAACAATTTTACTCTACTAGGAAAATATAATTCATTCACATTTTATTACAGAAAGTCAAACATGGTTTTACTTGTTACTAATTATACAGATCTTACTCTAAAAGACCATGGGAATCATGGAAACCAAACACGTTTTACTATCACCTCTGGCAGACTGCTCTTTCATCATAAAAGAGGGCTAAAAGATCAGTTTCTTTGACAAGAAAATAGTTTTGGGTCAAATCACACAAAAATTCAAGAAAAACATGACTATGAAATGCTAAAGCTCAGAAACTACGGATAAGCTATCCAAAACACAGTTTTGGAAATGCAGTATGGTGGTTAACTCTGAGGAAAAGCATCCCTCACAACTCCCTCATAAGGACTCCACTAAATCTGTGTATCAAGAAATACCATGTATCAAATGTATATAGTGATGTATCAAAATACCATCACTATTTTCTGGGCGGCTATCTACATGTGGTTGACCGACGGTCAATAACCACAGTGACATGCAAACATGGCAGAGAAAATACAAATGCATGAGACACGAGGACATAAGGTCCCAGACATTACAATCACTAAGTCTTTTAACACCTTCTCAATTTCCCTGATGCTGCTTTGGAAGATTAGTGAAACAAGAAGGGTTCAGATGATCTAAAGCAAACACTACTCATCTCCACCTTTAGAATATAGCCAGGAATTACTACTTCAGTGGAAAAAATAAAGAAAAAATTATCTGAATGGTCTCAGAGATTAAAAAAAAAAATCTGTCATTTTAATTAAGGGAGCATTTTAAGGCAAACATAAAATAGTAAATGCCCCATTAGTACAGAATTTAGCACTGATGTTAACCTCTGACCCAGCCTTCCTCCTAATCTCATGACATCATCTGATGCTGCAACTGATCTAGATTGAAGTAGAAAGTGTATTTCTCTCTCATCAAGACACAAACTTTTGAAAGACTTTGTTAACAATCTTGTCAGCAATGCCTTTCATTTTAACAAGTCTATAGTCTTTAGAAATCCAAGGCACACACAAAGCAGGAAAAAAAATAACACTTATTCTGTTACTGAATAATTTATTCAGGAACTATATTGAAATGTCTAACAAATGCAAGGCATACATGCATTATCTAATATTAAAAAACCTGACAGCACTTTAAGAAAAAAGCTGCACTCCAAGCAAAGTGTAAAAAATCAGTGGATCCCTAAACTTTAAAGTTTCATTTTTCTTTCTAGTTCCCTTTCTGATCACAACTGCAACAAATTCAAAACAATCTTTAATGTATAGTACAATAGCACACCATTTGAGCAGGAAATTTGGAATGAATGAAAAATGCAAAATAGCAAATTTGCATTTACTTTGTTCACTCTCTGTAGCCTGTAAAGCTTCCAGGCTCAATAAGCTTCAAGTGCACATTGCAATTCTCATTTTTCTAACTAGTAAACAGCAGAGAGAATTACAGAGAATTTAAAGCCATTACACAAAAGACAACCAGTTCTACAAAGACACTACCTATTCATTACATCCCTAGAGGGTTTGAACTGAGCACTCATCAACAGAAGTGAGTGTGCTTGGAAACAGAAGTTGAAAGATTGCATGACACAAGACTATCACAGAGAGGATACAGCACTATGTGAACAGCCATGAGGTTTGGAGGAAAGATAGCAGAGATGAGTTAGGGATAGGAAAACGTAGTCCTTATGCAGGAAGAGGAAGAAAGTGGGTATAATGGTAGGAATAGGTTTATGGTTGCACAGTCTGTACAGACCCGTGCCAGGACTAAGCAATTCCGAAACAGTGCAAGTTTAGAAAGACAAGCAAAGCAAGTTACCTCTCCGGTATAACACTGGTAAGAATCACATGAAGAGTTGAGAATTAGCAAGAACTCTGACATCAACAGTCTCATGTTAGTGCTGAATTGCTTCTGTTAAGACCACACAGAGAGCTTGAAAACATATAACATGCAGTTAAGTATGTCCTAGCAGCTTTCATTCCAATTCCTTAAGAACAGCCTTAACAAATTTTAGAGTGAAATAGGAAACATTTCCATCTTTAAGAGACAAAGTGGTATACACTGGAATAAGATTTTTAGATCATTCCAAACTATCAGTAGCAGATCCAAGTTGTGGTTTTCAAGTACATGAGCTGTAATTTCATATACTGTAAAGAAAAGCTTTTCTGAAGTTTGGATGTTAATTTGTTCTTATTTTCTAGGGTTCCAAGTTTAACTGCTAGGATTATATATTCACATGAAAGGTCCTCAAGTTTAGTTCAGGTTAATGTTTTCTTTCAGTGGTCAAAAGCTAAGCAAACACACACAATAGCAAAGGAAGCCACTACTCAGCAATACAACAACAGAAAAAGCAATGTCTGAATCCATAGTTAAGGTTTGCTATGACAGTAATGATGACTGCATCCAACAAGATCAGGTAACAAACAGAGGGTAGCAAGTTCAAACACAAGATGAGCTTAAACATAAACAAGAATGGAGTCACCTAGAGGAGAAGAAAGGGCACAGATAGAAATAGCACAAAATCTACTCAAAAACTTAAGCACAGAGAAATGTTAAAATGACAAATAATGGCTTTGCATTTATATAGCATCATCCATCCAAACAAGACAAAGCGCTTTACAAATATTAATGAATTGAGACACAGTGTCTTCAAAGGTATCCATATTCAATTTGAAGTGTAGTGTAACAGTACTCTAAAGAACAGAGGCATTTTTACTGCTTCTTTCCTATGCAAGCATTCCCCTATGAAGCACTCCTGTTTCTAAAGCATTTATAAATTCCATTACACATGCTACACTTTTAAACTCTAGAGGAAAGAAGACTCGAAAGGTATATAATCAGTGTCTATAAATACTTATTCATAACAACAGCATGACAGAAAATTACTCCTATTCTCAAATATCAGAATGAAGGAAAGCCTACATTTCAAGAACAGTGTTTAACCAGATATTGCAGCAAAAGCTTCCATGGTTAAGTAGCAGCAGCAGCACTAGAAAAAAAACATTATCAAAGAATAATTCTAAGACATCAGCACTGCACTTAGAAAATTTTACATAAAATAATTACATCATAATAAATCCATACGAAATGAGCAGACTTCAAATGCAACTTCTGGCCTATCTATCATTCTGCAATATTAGAAACACTTTGAAGAGAGAAAAAGAGGGAGGAAACAAGACAACGAACCTTACCCTCTGAGCTTTTGCAAGTTCTTCTTTCAATCGCTCATAGCCCTTTTCTCTTACTTCCAGTACAGATGGGCTCCGTAAGTGAGATAAACTGTCTGTACTCAACCCAAAAATATCTTCATTTCCTTCAGCAACATCTGCTACTGTAGTACCCTGCAAAAGCTCTCTCTCCACGTTACTGCTCTCCTTCCTGGCATTACTGTGATTGAATGCCCCACTCTGGGGTCCAGAGGTAGAACCAAGTACTGTGTCGGTAACATTGATGCTGTAAAGAAAGCAACATAATTTTTTTTTATATAATACATTAAGAATAAGTATTTTAGAAATGGCAGTAGTGATGTTGAATATATAATTATGGACACAATTTAATATTGTAATATTGCATCTTTAATGAAGCAAATAGTTTACTTGCAACAAACATCAACAATTTAAATAAAAAGACACTTCTTTACCTGACACCTGATACTTCTCCACAATTCAGCTGTCTGGGAGATGAATAAACAGGTTGTGTAGGAAGGTCAGAAACATTTAATGCATTGGGTTGGATTGGTGTGGACACAACAGAAGGATGTGGTCGGTAGATGACACTGGGTGAGGTAGTTTGTTCCTGAGTCCCTGGCTCATTTACTCCAAGAAGATCTGGTGTAGTAGGCGAAGCGAGGTTCACTTCATGAAAGCCTTCCAAGGGGTCACTGGCCATAATAAAAGCTTCATTATATGGATCCCTAAATGAAATAATCACATTATCAGAAAGTAAACAGGAAATACTTAAATATATCTGCCAGCTATTTGAATTTTAAAACCACTCAAATGCGTTCAGAATACTTTGTGATAGAATAGAAACTGTGGACTACTCCAGCAAAAGTACAAACTTCAACCACCAAAAATGTTTTTTCCCACCCATTGTACTGCTGAGTCCAGAAGATCTAACAGCAGACTCTGCATCTAAATGGGATGATGAAATCAAGAACATACTCTACAGCATATAACAACATTATTCTTAATATAATCTAGAGCTGTTTCATATCAAAACAAATATATTTCATCCATGAAAGAGGGGTATCAGTGAAGCAACAGAAAATTTTCTAAACCTGAAACTTTCACTTTTCATCTCAATGAAGCAACTAATCTAGGACAGAAATCAGTGAACCTTTAAATAAATTACAGTCCATAGTGGTTCTGGCTCAATTACTCATCTGATCTTTTAACAGTTAACTGAAATGACAGACTTTGCTAATAAGATTTTTCGTGAAGTATGATGGTATGTATTTAATACATCACATGATTAAGTGAACATGACAGTTGTGAACAAGTATACCAAAAATATATTATAGGTAAAAAGTACTATGAATTGGCAATTTCACTGACAATCTTTCTCTTTTTTTTTAATTACATAAGCTTTTCATAAAATCAGTGGAAAACATGTACAACACATGATTTTTACAAGTCCTACTTTCCAGCAATTTCTCAGAGATGACAAAAATCTTTGCATGATTCAAAACTGTATGTTGGAAGGAGTATGAAGAAATTTGTGAAGGAATTACTTAGCACTGATTATTCACTGCAAAAAAAAACCCCACCTTTTCCACATTACATAAATACAGAAGAGAGAAAGTACTCCAAAAGTTACCTAATGTACAAAAAAAAATCTAAACAAAATAATACATTGTATTTTACACAGAAAGTTGCTTGGATCCTACACTTGAAAAGACAAGGCAGGAAGAAGATATAGAAAGATGGTGGTCATAACCATGAAGAGAGGATGCCATCAACTTACATGTACATCCACTTCATTAGCTACTTCACAAAACACACAGGAAGACATCGCAAAAAGAATCCCAAAATTATATATGAAGTAATGTTTTAGTAAAATTAAGAGTTTCTGGTCACCTTAAACACATAGAACACTACTCAAAACTGTTCTGCATCTCAAGGATTGTGGTGTGCATACGCCAGCGTGAAACACGGAGCTTTGCCACATCAGCAGGTACACATTCAGACAGCAAGAATATGACAACTGCTCAAAAAAAAAGGAAAAAAGGCAAGGTTAAAAAAAAAAAGAAAATAAAAAAACTGACCCCTCTCTAAGAAACACTTAAGGGACAAAAAGGACCTTAAATGAACAAAAAGGAATGTTTTTGTTTTGAGTTCCTTTTCTGCAGAAAATTTCATGCAGACATTTGTTTCATTTTGAACTATCAAGAGCAGTTGCACAAATATGATTTACACAGAAAAACACTTTGGGCTTTGAAGCTTTTCTAACAGCAATGAAAAGCTTATTTTTGAGTTTAAGTAACTTTGGCAAATATTGCTGTTTGTTTTCCCTACAATTCTTAACTATTAGAAGCCTTATAATTACATGCTCTACATGAAGATAAAGCCTGTTAAGTAGACAAATTAAAATGAAGGAACTGACACAGCTACAGGATGTTTCTTCAAAGTTCAATTTCAAGAATATTTTCAGCTCTACAATGCAATTATTACATAATTGTTTTACATTTAATAAGCTAAAACACTGTCATCTTTATAGTTCATCGCACCAGTGGAAAAATAACCATGGCACTGATCTCAAAGTCAGGGTCACATCTACACAAACAGTTTCCCTTTCTTTGTTCCCACCACTCTCCTGTTCATTGGCCACCAAGCCAGCCATACCCAGCACCACTATACTGGCAACAACACCAACCCGCCACTAAAAATTCCCAATTCTTTGGATTCCAGTCTTCACAACTAACAAGAGACACAGTTCTGAACATGGATGCACAAGGGCTGCCTGGATGCCTTGTCTTTTCTACAGCACCTAGGAAAGTGCACCCAAATCCACACAACAGAAGCAGAAACTGAGACCCACCTGAACAGGAACACACTTCTGCCACACACTCCCTGCTGTTGACTGGTTTCTATTTCAAGTTTGAAAGATGCTAGTCATTGCTAGTCACTCTCAAAACTCACAGTCTGCCTTGATATTCAGGAGAGATATCATGGAACTTCCTATCACCAGTACCACTGGCTGAACTTTGCTATGCAAGGTTTTTTTAGAAAAACCTGGTTTTTAAGAAAATACTACTTAGCCTTTTTACAAGAATAAAAGGAAAGGCTCAAGAAAAGCTTATTTATTGTTTTTTTCATTTATTTTACTATTTCTGTACAAATATTAGGGCTGTCTGTTTGGAGCAAATATTTTAAGAACACAGAGTAAGCAACAGGTTAAAAGATGTTCCATTCCATGTATCTGTGATAACAGACAAAAATTCCTCTACATTCTGAAGCTCAGGAGGCCATGCTGGCTCACACAGAGAAAAAACAATTGAAAGCCTACTTATTATCTTTCAAATATTCAAATGCACTGCTAGCTGTCCCTCCGGACCATCACATCAATTTACCCTGGCAAAATAATATGGTTCAGGGGACAGATGGGAGGAATCTATCCTACCTACATGGTCCCACTCCACTCTTTTATACAGCTTTTCCACCTAACCTGCCTATATCCTGCAGTATTTTTAACCAAAAAAAAAAATAAATAAATAAAAAGCCCAAACCAAAAAGATTAGGATTTTTACAAGACTATTACTCAGCTTGTACGTTAAATATTGACCTCAGCCGAAACAGGAAATAAATCCATGCATAACTTCTCAGCTATCAAAAACCAAGCTCTTTCTGATACAGGAAGTTAAAAAGTTTAAAAAGTTATGCAAGTTATTCCTGGAAGAGCTGAAAATAAACTCCCTCAGCTATATATTTCCCATTGCCTGTCAAATGGGCACTCATAAGCAAACCATCTGTGTAAAACACTTTCCAGTCACAACTTTTTTCTTTCCTAAGATTACTTCTCACTAGGCAGTGAGCAGCAGAAGCTGGGTTACACCACCCAGACAAGAGAAAGGAGCCCATATTAAGTATCTCAGTTTCAAGACTCACCAACACCATTACAAACACACATCAGACATCAATGAAACCAAACATATGTCCAAAAAGCCAGGTGGTTGCAAAATTATAAGCTCTCTTGGGAAAGAACTCTTCAAAGCAGTGGTAACCAAAAGGAGAAGGATTAAAAATTCACATGAAATTCCAGTGTCATTAAAGATTAGAGGCTTCCTTAAGGCTGGCAGGAAGGATTCATATTATTGACTAAGGCAGCGATGAACAGCCTTGCTGTGAAGGAACATGAAGCAAACGGTAAGCTGAGAGCTTCACTAGGAGCCAAGCTGACTGTGTGCAAAAAAACCACACACTGTTGACACAGCACTCTTTAGTAGTAATTCTGCTACTGTGAACAAAAGCTGATATTCTGACATTTCAGAGCAGCACACAGGTTAAATAAAATAATTAATTTTTTAGTATTTCTTCCACCACATTAATATAAGGTGAAGGCTTGGAATCACATTAATGCCTACTAAACGTGATTATTTTTTTCTTAGTTGATACTATGCAATTAGCGTCACACAAAAAAATGTCAAGTACTGTAATAAATCAGGATGAAACAACAAAATAATTCATTTCCTTATGCCTTCATCTGGAAATAATGCAAATTTGGAGGGAGCCGACAAATGTCACTTTTTATTACCTCTTCACTGCCACACCTGCACTGCTGACTAACCACAACTTCATGAGGAAACTATGCTCAAATCTGTTATTTTGTCTAATAGTAATCTAAAATGTACTACAAAGAAACCAGTTTAACACTTCCTAAAGCTTCTAACAGAAATTGAGAAGCACAAACATTTTTAACAGGAGTCAAATCAAAATGCTTAACCTAATTTTTCTGTTATAACTCTAAGAGAGGTTTAAGTACTTGTCTGAATCAAAGCACTCAATAACTAAATATTAAAAAGCTCCCTGAAAGGCAGTAATTTATTAAGGTTTGTTTCCTGAAAAAAAATTGTTGAAAACCACCTACTACAAACTCTGGAGTTTGTCTTTCACAGATTGCTTTTGAATACCAGACACTCCGTATATAACATAACAACTCTGAACAATCTCCTGACTGCTACAGTCCATTTAAAAACAATGCCAACACCAAACATTTCACACATCAGTAATCTCATTTTCAGCTTTAAAAGAATACAATCATAACAGAATGGCTACCTGCCCGAGTAGGAAGAAAAAAAAAATCCCTTAAGGAAGAAAGTTAACACCTCTAAACATTTTCACCGAGAGCAAATTCTAGTTAGTATTTATCAAAAGAATGTGCCCATTAGCCACTGTGGTTTAACCTCCAAGCAGCAGGCTTTAATATGTAACTGAGTCTCAAAGACTTCAACGGAGTCCAACACGTGCTTCAGCTGATTTGGGAGGGGTCTGGAAAGCGGATTTTGCCTCAAAACGACTGCCATTAGCCCACCACTGGGCCTGCATTCTTCTCAGTCGGTTTAGGGAAAAAAATTTGAAATATGTGGCATTGCAGAGCCTGGAATGTAATATGTTTTAAACTCTAAAGAACTCAATAGGGAATTAAGAGTAGTGGATTAATGAACACCTTTTAAAGAAGCAGTTTAGTTAAGTACTGCTACTTCAAACCTATCACATGCAAATAGGTGGTTTAAAATTTAAATTGTTGTAAGGGATATATGGGCAATATTTTCAAGTTCAAAACTAATTCAATTACATCTACCTAGTATAAGATACTGAAGAGATCTACACATAAAGTGTGGTAGATTTTCTTCCTAGACTGTTTTGATATTTAAGCTTAGCCAGAGATTTCAAGCAAGTTTAAATACCACTGTCACTGCCCGTTGATTGCATGAACACAAGTCAATATTTGGCATAGGAATTCCTTTAAGGTTTGCAAAAAAATATTTCCCAGTCCTAAAATCTTGCAATTGTAATAGAAATTTCTTCTCCAGAAACCCAAAACAAAGCATGGGGGTTTTTTGGTTTTGGTTTGGGTTTTTTTGAGCCAGTAAGATATGAGAGAAAAGAAAGCACTGGACTACTCCAGTCTTTACATATTCTACTTTTATTTTATTTTGACCTCACACAATGTATTTACCAGCAAATGATAAATCAGGCATGACAGTAAATGGAAAGTAAGGTGTAAGTTCAGCAAGTTTACAGAATTTAACAGCTAGCACAAACACTCTTGGTTTAATGTGAGAATATTTTTCTACTGCATTCCCTCTAGAGTCGTCATATAATACTATGATGTGGGTCTATTTTTACTCTCACTTTATGCATTGAAAACACTATTTTGCACTGTTTCAAAAGAAACAGTCTACTTGATAGCAGGATTTTATGAAGTTACAAAACTTCATAAAGTTTTGATGAACTGATGATAAAAAAATCTCTTTCAAAAACTATTTTTTAGGTATATCTTCGACTAGAAAAATATACATACAGACAACAAGTGTCTCTCTTACAGAAACAAGCAGCACACAAGATTCAATGACCTATATTTATGAAGTGCTTGTGAAACTTATAAATAAACATGGTTTAGAGTCTGCTAGATAGTACACCTCTTACTAGAGTGAAAAGTCAGTGCTTTGCAAAGGCAAGGAATACCACAAACTTTCATTGTAAACAAACATTCAAAGAATGCTGTTCTGTTAAAAAAGACTCTCAAACCAAGTTAATTAAGATGAAAATATGATTCTCTTTGCAGTTCCTGTTCTTTTTAAAGCAGAGTACTGTTCTGCCTTATCTTGGAAACTGTTTCACAAGCCCATCTCAGGTTTAAACCCGATCACAATGACTGTAGTGTCATTCTTGCCAAGACTTGGACCCAAAGACCCTCTCGTTTTCAGTTAACACTGAAAATATTCAGTAAGTAAACTTAAACTTCAGTAAAATTACCATGAATTTCCCGACATTGTACCTGCAAATGCATTTAAAGAAATATTTTCTTAATTTATAAAAAGTGGTTAGTGTATTAGTGCTAATGAAGTCTCTAATACAAGTCTTGACAGGTTACAGTAAGACAATATTTTCCATGCCATATTAAAAAAGGTCTTAAAAATAAAAATCCAAAGTACACATCTCCTTTCTGAGAAAATCCATAAACCTAAGTGGAACAGTGAGTGACCATCTCATTTGGTATTTTACATGAATTTTTAAACCAAATCAATAACAGCTATGAAGAAAGCTGCAGTCTATAATCAAAATGCTTCTTGTGACCGTTCTTTCTCCTATGGAAAAAAAAAAAATCCCCTTTTAAATATAGCATAACAAGATGGATATTCCAGTCGCAGCTGTGAGGTGCACTCCCATTTGTTATTTATTAAAAGCATAATGAGAACAGTAAATTATTTATCCTTCTTTGCTCACTAGGTAACATTAACCAAGCACAACAGATGAATGACTGCCAAGAGACAAATACAGAAGGCCAAACTTTAACCCTTCCAAAAACTCACTAAACAGATCTATAATAGAAACAACAATAAAAATATGAAAGCAACAAGATTTCAGGTTTTGCCCTACAGTGAGGAATACAAGTATTTGAACAGATGGTAGCTGCCAATACATACTTCTAGTCTGAACAACCTTACATCTGCTTCGAAAGAGAAGTTGATAATTTCAGTTACACCAAGTCTACACAAGATTAATTATTTAATCTATTTAGATAACTGTTTTTGAGACTTCCTAAGAACATGCTTAAAAAGGAATGCAGTGAACAAAGCAAGCAACATAAAATTTAGTATATCATCTGCAAACAAAACAGACAACACTTTCAAACTCATGAAAACACTGTAGCTTTTTGTCAGCAAGACAAACTTTGAGAGTGTCATTAAGGCTTCGGTCATTCTGTTCTCCCGCTTCCAAAGCCCTGCGAGCCTCGGGGAATTACTGGAGCATCAGCACTCTAGCAGCACAAATTTCTGTATAGCTCATCGCTTAAAATCAGCCTGTACCAAAATTTACTTTCTGAGCTTTACTGTCCAATATAACTACATTAGAAATTAAGGCAAAGTCAAATAGGCTACTTCAGCTTACAAGACCACTTATCGGCGACTAAGTATGGCCCTCAATATTGCTCGACAGACCACAAAGCAACGACAAAAGCTACGGGCGCGGGCAGCCCCACTGTCCCACAGCGCAGAACGCCACTCCTGTCCCTGCCCACGCTGCTCTGCACTCCTCAAGGGGGGCGAAATCTGCGACCCCCACAAGGGGCCCTGCCCGGCCTCCCCCCGCTTCTGTCTCTGCCCCTTTGGCGCTCTCCCCTGACCCGCACCTGCCGCCCCGCCGGCCGAGAGCTCTGTGAGCGGAGGCGAAGCGTTCAGCACTAGCTCAGCTCCTTCCCGCGTCCCTCCTCTCCTGCTCTCGGTCACCGCCGCCGGGCCGTCCTTCCCCTCGGGCCCCGCACAGGCGCTACGTGGGGAGCACGGCAGCTGCTCCGACCCGCCGGCCCCGGGGATGCCATGGCTCTTTGTCCGCCGCCGCTGCCACCCCCGGGGCAGGCACTTCCCGGCTGATCCCTGAAAACTACTTATGCCCAGTTTTGCCTTCGACCGCGGCTGAACTCGGGGACAAGCGCATCCCTGCCGCCGACTGCCCCTTCTGTGCCCACGCAAGCCCGACGGATCCGAGGACGCCCTCCCGCCGCAGACGGGCACAGCGGCACGGCCCGGGCAGAGTCCCACAGCCGCCACAGCCAGCCCGCGCCCGGTCACGGCGCCCCGGCTAGGGGCAGCGCTCCCCGGCGGCGCCTGCTCCGCCCGCCTGGGCACAGGCTCCCGGAGACGCGTCGGCGGGCAGGTGCAGCAGCACTAACGGGGAGCCACAGCCCGAGCAGCCACCCCACGCTCCCACTGGCGGAGCCGGGGCTGGAGCCGGGGTTGGGGTCGGGGTCGGGGCCGCGCAGCGCCCGCCGCACGTACCTGCCGAGCCTCGAGAGAGGAGCGGCCGCCGCCGCCGCGTCCCCTCAGCCGACCTGCGGGGCCGGGCCGCGCATGCGCGGCGCGGCGCAGAGCCCGCAGCGGGGTGGGGGGGCAGTTGTGCGCGGCCCTGCTGCCGCTCCCTAGCGGCGGGGCGGGGGTGAGCTCCGTGAGGGGAGCGGGGCCGGGCGGGGGAAGGAAGGGCCCGGGCCCGCGGGGCCTCCGCCCGTCACCGGGCTCAGAGCTAAACCCTGGAGCACTGCTCCTCCTCAGGGACCGGCGAGCGCAGCCCTGCTCGGCTCTGAGTGTTCTGCTGCCCCGAAAAACACAAGGAAGTTAATAACTCTGTGTTTAGTGGTATGCAGTAACAGAGGCACGGGATTGCACAATTGAAAATTACAAAATGAAAAATATGCCAGGTGGTTATCCTGCAATTTTCATTCATGGGGCATGCACTGCTCCAAATCAGTTTCCAAGCCTCCCTAATGTATTTATAATTTCATAATTAAAGACTGAACTGTACACACAAAATTCCTGAAATGAGGCCACATGTAAAAGGCCTCACTTGCTAAGGAGAGGTGTTTTTCCAGCTCCAGTGGTTTGATTAAGAGCGATTACCACTATGTCTCATGTGGGCTTGCCCCAAGCCGTCCCCACTGCCACCCTGACACGAGCATGGTACTCAGCGCACTTGAAGTCCCGGTCTGTACTGTTCTGTGTCCTGTGTCTTAAAGGTGATAGGCAAAATGTTATAAAGCTGCTATAAATAAGACTCCATGTCACCACTGGTCTGATTACAGTGCCAAAAAATATGCTTCAAATGACAGCAGTATTAGCCGGGCCATGTCCTTTCCTTGCTGTTAGTGCAGCTGAACTGAATCGTGTGCGGCATGGTGAGGAACTTGAGCAAAAAACCAAGGTAAACAAGACCTTGTCCCATTCATCAGTTAAGGAATCTAGGCCGCATTCCAGTCAATAATTGAAACTTTAATTATCTTGACAGCTTTCAAATGTGAATGTGAAAGAATCCTGTTTGGCCAGTCCTGCAGGACACAGCCACAGACGAATAATGTTCTCTGTGGCGCATTCCCCATGGCATCCACCAAGCAAAAAGTTCACTGAGAGCAAAAGAATATGACAAAGATGACATCCAAAGGCAAATGTCTCTATGCCATTCCTCATAAAGTAAAAATACAGTACCTATAAATACTAATATCTTCTAAATTATTTTCCAGTATGTAAATCTACATTGACTGCAATAGGGCTCAGGCAGAAAAATGGCTACAGAAGGTCATCATCTATAGCTTTTCTGGAAGCAATCTGAAAACCAAGAAATCAAAGTGCCAGAAGTGGAATATTCAAACAGCAGTATAACTTGAAGTTTGTTATAAAACCCCAAAAGAGCAGAGACGTTCAGTATAAGGACCTTGAACTTTAAATTATTTAATTTGCTAATATTGACATGAGATAGAATCCAGGAAGTGCTATCAGATTACAGGTTTGACAAATTAGAAGATGCATCAGAAATTTATTAAAAACATGATTGCAAAAGAAATGACAAGTGGAATCATAAGTTGAAAACAACCTATTAAGACATAGTAAACCAACAAGTGTCTATAATTAGGATTTGTAATCCTATAGTTCTTAATCCTGTACAATGACTGTGCTTGGCATGACAGTTTGTCTTAACCAGATTAGACATCTCGCATTTCAAGAAATAAAAGCAATACAGTTCCAAAGACATTTGACTGCTAAAATTAATCACCAACAGATTTATTTTGTCAAAGTACTCCTGTGTTTTGCTGTGTATAATACTTTAAAGAGTCAGACAGCAACAAACCACAGAAAGCATAATTTACGTGGTTAAAATTAAAAGCTAAAATAATTTGAATAAATAAATTGAATTAAATCTGGAGTCATAAATAAGAGAAGTCTTTTTCATGGGGCTGGGGCAAAAGAAAAAGATATTTGAAAAGAGTATTTTTATCCAGCCCTTTGCTCCTTCCTGAGCTGCATATCAGTGTCAGGGTGGAGCTACTCCTCCAGGCATCATGAACTGAGAGCCAAGGTCACCAACAAGGGCACAGCCCAGAGCAGAGCCAGGTGGCAATAGCAACAAGCTTTGCCATACACCAGTGACCATCACCCAAGGTGAGATGCCAAGTCCAGGATCCCTTCAGGAAGTCTTGTCAGGAGGAGCAGGAGGCGGTACTGGAGACATGTGTGACCTGTGTACAGACCTACACCTGGAATGTAGGTCTGGGGCCCATCCAAGGAAGGATCATCCAAGAGAGACTCACGCAAGACAGTACGGCTTGGCTGTTTGTTTTGAGCTCTGTAGCGTGGCCAAATGCCCCAGATCAGAAATTCCCATTCTCCAGCTAGAGAGAACACTGAATAGGTATCTTGGCACAGACCTGGCTGGAGCAATTTATATACTAAAAACTGAGTCTGGACTTGTGTAGCTTCTCTCCAGTCATACTGATGGAAGGTGTGACAAAAAACACTGCAAACAGTTCCTGCACTGCACAGAGTCCCCCTGAGCTGCAGCTCTGTCTGTCAGAGTCTTCTGTCACATTTGAGCCATCTGTCTGAGAGACTGTATCTTCAAACGTGGTTGTTTCCTTTCCTAATAGTTACAGTCCACTCGACCTAAGAAACCTGTTTCAGGGAGGAGAAAACTGAAGGGACAAAGGGCTTCTGTTTTGAAGAAGGTAGTCCCAGACCATGGCAGGGCTTTCTGTTGAAGGCAAGGATTGCTGCAGGACTTTAGAAAAAACAAGTGTTTTTCTTTGATCATTTTTCTTTGATCTGAATTTAGTTAGTTTCTCATCTCCACACAGAAGCACAAATGCCAGCTTGGGAGGAGTTAAAGAAAGAGATGGTTGTTCTCTTTGTAGAAGATATTTAAGTGTTTAGTTGGGGAGGATGTCCCAGCAATGTTATGGATAAATAAAGCAAATAAAATTTGAAATATCACTTTCTACTTGCCTATGGTATTTCTTACTTGTTTATTATATTATTTTTTTAATATTGAATGAACTGTACTTATTACCACCCTTTTTGTCAAGATGTTACAAAACAATAAACTCAAGAAAGCCACAGGATAAGTCTATTGATAGCAGTCACACGTGTATTGAAACCCCATAGTACAGTGAAAAAAAACCCCAAAGAATGATCCACTATATAAAAAAAAGATACAGAGATTTTAAGTCTTATCTATTTTAGAAATCCTCCCCCCAACCAATGCTCAAAGTACTGGGAAATGTAGTTCCCCACTCAGACATAATTCTTCAGTGTTTAGCTAACCATTTTGAAAAGAAATCCAATTGGTACATTGGCATAAATAAGCTTCCAGCTGATTGGAGCTCTAAAACTTCTCTCCATGCTGTCCTCCGTGTCCAACCAATAGAATGTTAAAACTGGTGAGATCTGTGTTTTTTTTCAAATCTACCCACTATAAAAAGGCCCAGGATAACAGAAAATAAGCAGGATTGATATTAACTGCTCTTTCTCAAAACTTCCAATGGTGAAAGAGAGAACAGCCTTCCTAAGCAGTACATTCCAGTACTGAACTAACCTTGGAGTTACAAATATCTTCCAAAGTCTAACCTCATCTCCTGTGCTGCAGCGTAGAAGAGGTAACAAGCTTATCTCAGTGAATACAGGAAGCAGAATTCAGGGCATTTGATAGCATCACCTATACCCTCAATTTTATCAAAGAATAAACAATTATTTTAATCTTTCCTCAAAGGTGATGTTTTTTAGACCTCCAATTATTTTTATTGTTCTCTCTGGGTTTCTTCCTGTGGGTCTTTATCATAACAGTGCTCAATTCCAGGCACAGCACTCCAGCTGGTCTGATGAGCACTGGCTTTAAGATATCACACATCTGCCTATAAATCCCACCAAAGACCTTTGCTTTTTCTCTTATGGCAGCAGAACACTGCTTAACCAGTCCTTCTCCAGCTTGTGTATAACCTCACTTGTGAATTTTCTTCTATGTCCATTGATTCTTACTGAATTCTAATCTTGTTCTGAAGAAAAAAATTTTAAGGCCCTTCACATCTTGCAGATTTGATAAGTGCACTGTCTATTCCATCAGCCAAGTCATTAATTAAAATACTGCATGTTATCAGATCCAGAATGATCCTCTGAGCTGAGATGCTCCTCTTGAAAAATTGACCTTCTAAAAACATGGTTTGAGTGGGGTTTTCATACCCATCTTGTATTGTTTCTATGGTAATTTATGCTGGACAGCATGCCCCTCCCTTTCTTATGAGATGTCAGGAGGGAATTTCAAAAGCCTTAGCAAACTCTATCTGTATCACATACATTGATTCTTTCCTGTTTCTCTTGAAATTATGTGCTCAAATCATGCAACAAATATGATGTAGCATCAAAATCTCAAACAGCTTTATAGTCTTCACCTCTGTTACCAATGTTATCACCTCTATTGTCCATGCACTAAATTAATGTCAGAAACAAGAGCTTGAAATTATGTCTAAAAAGGAAATATTCATTAAAGCCCTGTATGCATTAATTGAAAGTCAAGGCTTGAATACTAAAAAATATAAACTTGACAAATAAATTCTTTTATACACAGCATATATCTATACACAACTGGCAGAACTCACTGACACAATATTAAAACAATGGCACATTCTTTACTGATTTAAAAAAAAAAACAAAACAACACTGTTAAGGGAATACACACAACACAGCCTAACCAAGGAATGTACAAATTAATAAAAATATAAATTCTTCATTAACTGTTAAGGTGACAAGGATTAAAAAGAAATTTCCCCTTCAAGCACATAGATTACAATTGCCCACTTTGACTGTAAGACTGATTCTGCAAACAAGCTGCCCAACTAGGCAGATTCTGCTGTTTAATATGAAATAATAATGCCTCTGCATTT